TTGCATTAGGCTCGCGCGAGCGCGACACCAAACAATGTATCGGGCATTAAATAGACTTAAATCGTGGGACGTGGGTCGGCCAGGCTCGTCTCTCTCTCTCCCCCATCTCTTCCCTCTCTCGATCGATACAAGGGAATTCTCTGGCGGCCTTTTTCGCCCATCCCATCCCCCCCGTCGGTGTAGGGTGGATGGCCACCGGGGAGAGGGTGAGGTGCAGCCACGAGAAAACGCAGAGCGACAAAGGGAAATGGAGATGGGGGGGGGGGGGGGGGGGGGGGGGACGACGACACGGTCCCTCGGTCCAAACCGAGCGGCACGCTTCCATCCTCGCTTTCGTGCCTCGACGACTACGACGACGACGACCACGACGACGTTTGGCCCCGGCCCGCGCCTCGTGAGAGGGAAAAACCGTCGGGGACGAATGACTCCTCGTAAATCGATTACGTGGATGGAAAACGCCATGGTTTTCGGGGTCTCTCGGAAAACCGTTACACACACAGACAACCACCCCCGTTTCACACCCCGGGGCTCTTTATCGTTATCGTTATCGTTATCCTCGAGTCGGTACCTTTCGATTTCCATGCGAGCATTTCCCACGTCGTCGAGAAAAATCCACGGGGAATATCGAATTCATGGAACACCACAAGAATACACCATTATGTACGTTTACGGTCTGATGGACACGTTTCGTGGTTCCGAGGGAATTTCGAAAAACTTTTCGTGTACAAGATTCGAGGACCCGGTTCCAGGAAGCAGAACCGGAAACGAAGGGGATTCGTCATCGCCGCGCAGCGTTCGAGACGAATTTCTCGAGGACCCTCTCTATTTTCGCCACCTATTCGACGAACCGTAGGAGCGTTCTCCTTTTGTCCGCGTGTTTCCGGGGTCGCGTCTCTTCCCCTCTCCCCCCATCGTGGGCCAGGGAATTCTCTTCGTCGTTCGTTTTATTGGGACGGGTGATAATCTTGGACCCTTCCCTCTCCCCGCACGCGGGATTTCCGTAGCAGCAGGCTACGTATTCGAGGAGGCGAGGAAAAACTCGCGAACCGTGGGCTTCTCCGTCCTCCTCCCGAATCGTTTCGCCCGCTCGGGAGACGCTCCATTAAGCTTCTTCCAGGAGTTTTTGTCCCCCCATCCACACCCCCCACCCTTTCAGGACAGAGACGCGGAACCGAGATTCGTAGCTGCATGGCGATTCCATCTGGCTACACCCCGGTTGCTACTGCTACTCGTTCCTCGCGCGCGCGACGCTTCACTTCGCAAAAACGAGCGTCGTCCAACGATTCATTGTTACCTATTTTCCAGGCCCGCGTAATTCGCCGCATCGCGCGCGCTATTTCCACTCCCCCCGACCGACTGGCTGGCTTCTTTCGATCGATCTACGAGTCGAAGTCCCGTCCCCCATAAAAACCTTTTCTGTACTCGTTCCGTTCGTTCCCTTTGCCATCGCGATCGCCACTGGAATAAGAATATCGATCGTGTGCATTACCGAGTAGACCGCGTAACCTCGATTCCATATAGGCGAACGGTTACGTGTCGTCTACGCGTCTACTCTACGTCGGGGGTCTACGTGTCGCAAACGAGACGAAATATAGTTTGTCTGGTGGGGGAAGATAGGACTCCTTATTACTCGTCGCTTTCTCCGTTCCCTCTGACACTACGGTCCATTCTCTCGTTTTCCAAGCCGGAAACTACAACGTCGCGCGGAAGGATGAACAACGTGCCACCAGGAACAAGTGTCCCTCGCGCGGCAGCTGATTCTCTCCGTGCACCGTTTGTATATACCACGAACTTCTCCGTTGGCCATCGCCTGATATTGTTGGATTCCAAGTCGTGGAATTGAGTGCGACAATTTTCAAAGATCTTGAAGAGGTTTATTCCATTACACGTGACAGAGTGTCGTAACAGTCTAATAAGTACCTAGGTTGGGCATCGAACAATATCAGACGTCTCGTCTCGTGAGTTAACGTTTCGAGAGAACGATATTCCGATTCTTTCTACGAACATCTTCCCCATTCCAGGAACGATAATTTCTCACCGTCCTCTGGAGGATTGTGCAAGATTCGAACGCGTCATGCGAGGGCAATCGCCAACAGCCACCATATACCGATCTTCTCGTTTGTATCAGATTCTCCTCGAGATGACCGCGACCAGTCTCACATTTCGGACAGCAACCGCCAGCTTGAGCGTCAGGAATGCAGCGGGGCGTACAGGTTTCGGGCTGGACGGGAACTGTCGGGTCTGCCTGTGAGGGTAGGACGCGCGGAGAGGCGTATATGGACGATGGCACGGTGGAGATTACGTTTACGCGGTCGGACTCTTTTATTACCCAGGGCGGTTGCCGCGACTCCCACGTAGGTGTGTAGGTAGGTATACCCCTTTTCCATCGATCCAGGCTACTATTCGAGTGTTTGCCGTGCCCTCGAGTCGTCTGCCATCCGTTTTACTATTTGTGGGGGGGGGGGGGGGGGGAGACGGAGGACCCATACGCGCGAGTCGAGCCACGGTTTATCGCGAACTCTCTTCCACTCGCACCGGATATACCGGGGGCGGAGGTGCAAAAACCGCGTAAAAGCAACGGCGATGGAAAGGACCGGTCTGAAAGAAACCGGAAAAGAGGTGAACCCGTGAACGTTCTAGGCGCCACCGAGGGGAGTGGAAGAAAACGCGGCGGCGGTGATGATGGCGCGCAACTTCATTTTTAAGTAATTGCCGACCCTTTCGAGAGCTTTCATCGGGACGAAACGAAAGCTCGCGCGATGCCCACCACCACCCCCTACCCCTCAGGTTCTCCAGGCATTCTGCAGTCTCGATTAAGCGATTAAACGAACCCCCATTCCCCCCTACTGCTCCTCTGGCCCGCTGCCGTTATTAATTTACCGCCATTCTCCGCCTACCGCCCTGGAATTTCTTTCCCATTCTTTTCTCCTTCTTCGATCCTGAGGCTCCTGTAGTCGTGTCCTTCGACCCTTTCAATTTTTCATCGTTTCCTCGCGTCCCATCGGGTCGCGGTCTCATTGTTCGCCGCGGCGCGTCGCGATCCTCCTCGTCAGTCACCCGCCGGAAATCGAGCCGGAACGAAACGGAGGGGGGACGAATCGATTACGTCCCGAACCAAAGAAGTGAATTTTCGAACTGTCTCTCTGTTGCCTTCCTCGGATGGCGAAGCTTCCCTGGATGGTGGAGGATGAAAACGGCCGAGACGCGAGGTTCTGCATCGACGTTTCACCAGCACGGTGTGAATCTCGGAGAACGGTCCCGATTCGGTGACGGTTGACAGCTCGTTAGTGCTCCTTTCCCTCCCCGGAGAAGAGAAATCGTGGTCACGGTCGTCTATTCCGGGGCTGTCGGGCCTGGCACGCGGCAACGGCCACCAATTTTCGCGGACAATTTTCCGCGCGAATCTGTCTCGAGCGAATTTACTCTCCGGGTGCCACTATCATCCCTTTAGCGTAACCCCCATCCCCTGCCCTCAACCAACCGGCCCACTCCTGCAACCCTTCTCTCTCTCTTTCTCTCTGCCCTCCCTCCGACGGGGTGTTTCGTGTCCCGCGCGCTCGTAGATTTTGGCGAGTCGCCAGAATTAATTTCGCTCCTGAGACAGCCCGACTACAAGCCCATCTCGACGTGGTTTTTGTGGTCCCGTTGGGGATATTTAAAAAGATTTCAACAACACGCGACACGGTAAAAATCACTTTCGTCGACTACCGTTCGAATTTCCCTCTTTTTCCCTCTTTCTTTATCGTCCTCATTATTTTCTCTATTACCAGAAACTGTTCGTAAATCCGACGGAACTGTCCGCTGGGGGACACGGAGGTCGATCGATAGCTAATATCTCTATTCCCGATTTGTTTCCCTTCGAATAGTTCCACACTCGTGGAATGGAACGTCGAAGGAATCGGAGGTACGAAACGGACGAAGGAGGCTGGACAGTGATTTTCGTCCATCTCGATGGAATCGGCCGCGCTGGAGAGAAAACGGCAGGTGTTCGTTGGCGGAGCAGCTGCAATCACGACCACCATCTGCCGCGGTAATGCACGCCTCTTCCAAGTCTTCTTCCAGTCTTGGGAGAGAAGAGGACTCTCGGGCAGCAGTGGTGCCCGGGGGCTATCCATCCTCAATTAGACGGCCACCTGAAACACGTGCCCGGTTCGAATCCGCGGATTTCGATGGCTTCTTTCCTTCTTCCTTTTATCTCCTTCTCTTTTTCTCGCCCACCGACACGCTCGTCTTTCGCGTTTCGTCCAATTTTTTGTATGCCTGCTCGTACTTCCATGGCGTCGCAGAAACTTGCGTTCCATCGGCTTCCATCCTTTCCTCGCCGTTGCGCCTCATTATCCATCGCTTCCTGGTCCCGGGGTGTCATCGATCACCGATCAGCGTTTTACACAAGGACGCCAGACAGCCACGAGGCTTCGCGTAAGCGTAAAAAGTACGCCGAACGCGTGCTGCACAGGAAACGAGAGATCTCCGGCGTCTCGTGTTACGTTCGCGGCATCGACCGAAATATACATATGTACTCGATTAAATACGTTTCCGAGAAAATTTTATACTTTTATTCGTTCTCGTGGACGGTGCAAAGAGTCCAGCGAATACTCTGTAAAATAGTATGTATAACGCCAAGCAAACACTCTCTAAAATAGTGTAACGCCAAGATACAACAGGAAGGTAACGGTATCAATAAATAAAAACGATTGAGCAATTCGATGGTAACTACCCGGACGTATATCGAACACAGTTTTCTACCTTACCGACTCCTGACGGCAACGATTCTGCTTACAGACATGTGGCGACCTCTGGCAGCGTCGCGCGTGTCATAGTAAACCCTTTATCTTTTACCGTGACCTTTCCGGCGATAACACTTTCGATAAACGGAATTACAGCTGAAATTTCCCCGAGGCTGTTCATACACAGCGTGACAAAACAAACGGTTCGATCCAAGCCCGCGCGTACTTTCTTCTGTTAGAAAATATTATATTAAAATAAAATGTATTTTTCATATCGAATACTTTGGGTTGCCACCTCAGGTGTAATGTGTGTGCAGCTAGGAAGAATCGGGACGGTTCGAGCCGAAGTACGTCGACAATTCTCATCTAACTCGAAGGAACATGTGTGGGCGTACCGGAAGCTCTGTCCTCGCTCGGTGGAGCGCTGGGAATCACGCCCTTACGCTCCATTTCCTCCTTCAATCGGAACTTCTGCACTTTTCCGCTGACCGTTTTCGGGTAATCCTCGACGAACTCGACGTAACGCGGTATCTTGAAGTACGCGATCTTCCCCCTGCAATAGTCCCGCAGCTCGTCCGCGGTGAGACGGGCGCGTTCACGAAGACGCACGCACGCGCAAATTTCCTCCCCGTAGACCTTGTCGTAGGCACCGATAACCTGCGCCTCGAGCACCAGTGGATGCGTCATCAAAAAGTCCTCGACCTCCTGTAACCAACCGGAGATTCACCGGGGGGATAACGAAAGATCGAACGGTAGCCGGTCACGGTAACCCCCGTACCTTCGGGAACACGTTCTCGCCGCCCCGTATCACCACGTCCTTGAGCCGTCCGATTATATGACCGTAGCCGTCCGATCGTAGAACGAAAAGGTCGCCTGTTTTCAACCAACCTTCCTCGGTGATGGTCTGCTTGGTGTTTTCCGGGTCACCCCAGTACTCCATCATGACGTTGTAACCGCGTACCTGAAGCTCACCGATAGTACCGAACGGCACGATCGATCCCTTCTGATCCACAACCTAGAACACACGGGCGTGAACAAAGCGCAGTGTGAACCCGTTTATTCAAACGTGGAATACAGTAAATCATCGATGAGTGTTCGAAGGCTGCTCGGCACTGAGTGCTCACGCGTCATCTCCACCACTAGGCGCTTGACTGGTTCCCCGGGGGACCTCCCCCCAATGGTGGGGATGACGTTTGAATCGATGATGTTTCTTTTCTTACCCTCATTTCCATGTGATTGGAGATATGACCGACTGTGTTGTCCGTCAGCTCCGTCGATTCGCCGGGCAACGACTGACAGACCACCGCTGTCGCCTCCGTCTGACCGAACACCGTCTACGGCAATCGAGCATTAAACACCCCCCCCCAAGCATGTGGCAATCGTGCCGTTTCGGATGGAACGTAATAAACGTGGGGGCAAACCGAAACCATTCCATGGTGGCCGATTTCGCGAAAGGGAGAACATTATTGATCGCCAGGCAAGGAACGATATTTCTCCTCGCGGAATCGTATTTATGCATACGAGCCGAGGAGTTGCTCGGCGCGAGAGATATGTGCATAGATAACGGCCGTGTACGGAACGCGTTATGCCAGCCCGAATCGGCCGCGCGAGCCCCTCGTGTCGACGACCTATGACGTACCCTCCCCCGATCTACGAAGGACCGAAGATATTTCGACAATATTAAACGTAAAATGAGTCGATCGAAGTTTCTCGGCGATTAACGTCGCGTTCGTTGAACATTATTACTTTATAAAGGCGATGGAGATTTATGCGACCATGAAGTAACGTTAACAATCACCGATTGAGACCGATGAATTTACGTGCAATTATACTTTTGTTACGTTGGATAACGTAAGGTAGTTCGCCTTCGATTTATCGTTTCACGAACCATAAATTAACCGATTCCAGTAGTCTGACGCTTGCCTTTATCTTGTCGAAATGAAAACATTCTCGAATCCTCTTGAAGAGCGCCGGCGAGGCGGTGGCGCCTCCGGTGAAGCCGCAGACCAGTTTTATTGGCGGTGGTTGAAGTCGGTGATGGGCGTCGAGAAGATTGATCTAACGCAAACGGTCGACGTCTTATTTGAACAGGCCGACGAGAATTTTATTGCCTTCATCCCCCCTCCCTCAGGCCCCCGTCCACCCACCCCCGTAACGACGACGACGACGACGCCGTTGCTTTCTTACCCACATCGTCGGTGTCCCATAAGCGATCTCGCATTTCTCCTTCACCATCGCCTCTATGGACTTGACGGGATTGAAGGAGCGCGACTCCAGCACGAAGGCGATCCCCGAATGTAGCATCACCAGACTGTTCGTTATGCCGAACGCGTGGAAGAAGGGAACGTTCAGGCATACCTTCTGTCCCTCCCGAATTTCCGATCGCTCTAGAACCTACACAGATCAGAGTAATAATAAACGATACATCGACTATAAGACAGTTAAGAATCGTTAGAACTCGTTAGATAGAACTAAAAGGAACTAAGAAAAGAACCCCCGACTAGGGGACATAGGGGAGACCAGAACTGGTTGAACCAGAACTTTCACCGTTCAATAAGATATATCCAAATATATACCTTACCAAATATAATTACTGTTACAATGATACTTAGCCCACATTATTTATTAAGAATTAAACACCGCAAAAACTGTCCCACCAGCCTCTCCTACCGTTCGTCGACTGTCTCACCTGCCTGGCATTGTTCACCATAGACCTGTGCGACAACAGGGTCGCCTTCGGTTTCCCCGTGGTCCCAGATGTGAATTGTATGTTGCAGCCTGCGTGGCAGGATATCGCGTCTTGTTCCGCAGCGATCGCCTCGACCTCCTTCTTAGACGCAAGTTCCTCCACATCCTGGAACCGTCGTGTACCGCTGCAAAAAGATTCGTAGTTAGACGTGTTGTATCGATCGGCTGGATCGTACGCTCCATGGCGTTACGAAACACAAATCGGTGGCGCGCCGCGTACCGACAACCCGTAATGGGTCAGCCATTAACCTAATTGCGCGTCGACGGTGATTCCTTTCGCGGGGCAGCGATTATTAATCAAATCGACCCCGATGATCGGGCAGAAGTACGAAAATTACGAGGTCCCCGACGCGTGGAGGGGTGGAATCGGGTGCCAGATTGGCCTCCTCTGGATGGGGCGAGCGAGACGATCAATCGACGGTGGCCTGCAGGTGGCCTGGTTGCGGCCTCGTAGCCGCGAGAGGAAGGACTACGAGGCCGTGTTTTTAGGAAATTGCCAACCACTCCGGATAATTTGTTCCTGTTCGCGTTTCATCCACCGTTTCCGCGCGCGCCTTCGATAGCTATCATCAAACCAAATCACTGAAACCGTTCGAAAGAGTCGAGAAGCTCCTCGACGAACCGTGACATGCGTTCGGGTCTTTACAATAGACACATTCGTTTAATGGTACAGTAAATCCTCGATGAGTGTTCGAAGGCTCACACTGAACATTAACAAATTCGGTGCGAGTGGAAAGTGTAATTTCACATATCTCGTTACTGCCGAGGAGCCTCCAAACACTCATCGATAATTTACTGTAGTTCGCGACATTCAACGGAGACAAACCGTTTACATGCTGACCATTCGAACAATTACACATCCACGTTGGAAAAATTACATCCACGTAAGAACATAATCTTCACAAGGGGACGAAAGGGAAAACGGCCGTACGGATACGCGCAGAACAGTTTACACGGCTGGCGATATTAAAACCTCGAGACTCGACCGTCCCCGATGATTAACCCGCTTCCAACGAAGTCGAATTCCAAGTTACGCGTCGCGGCTCGTGATCACGCGATATTCATGACTCAAGAATCAAGGGGGGAGCCCCGCGGCGAGCCAGAAAGCGAACGCGGCCGCGAATACATTAAAACTGGCGCGGTGGTCGCGTTCGACCTCGTCTGATCTGGAGGGAACTTATCAGTAGAAACCGCCGGTCGGTCGCCTACGACGAATTTACCACGCCAAGGGGCTAACCGCGTTTCTAAACCGTCCCTACATAGCCCCGTTCCCTCCGTCGTTCAGCGACAGCGACCGCGTTTCCTAAGGACGAAGGATTTACGTGGCATCGTCGCCGTACTGTCCCGCTATCGACCGAGCCCTAGGCCGGATACCAAGAGTTATCGCGCGCTATGTCCCGTTCCCTCCGCGGTTTAAATTAAACGAAATTCCAAATGGACGGGGATGGGATCCTGCTTCTGGTATGTATATCATTCGCGGCAGATAACCGAGACTGGTGTCCATTGATTTTGTCCCGCGTACCCCGAAAGTTACGATATCCCGTGTTTCCCTGAACGGTCGTTACCACTAGCTTGTGACGTTGATCGAAAGCTTACTCCCTTACTTCACGTGATCCTTCGAATAGATAATTATGTGCTCCAAACTGGGGCACGCTTGTTTTGCCTCTAGCAACATGCGTGGATAGTTCTGCGTCTTGAAACCCTCCGGCGATATCACAGCCTTCGCGCCAACCTTCGCCAAACAGTAGGTGATCTCGTTGAGTTGGTAAGCGGGATTGATCCCGACGAGTATCAGGCCCGCTCGGGTCGCTGCCATGAAACTTATGAACCACTCGGCGTCGTTCGGTCCCCATATACCTAAACAATCACCGTGTTTAAGGCCGAGTTTCTTCAAACCGGCCGCCAAACGATCCGCCCGATCCAAGACCTCCTTGAACGTCAGACGAACGTTCCCCTCGATCGACACCAAACAATCTCTCTCCGGCCATCTCGTCGCCGCAGTTCCGAGCAATTGTCCCACTGTCTTTTCAAACAACGGCACGCTACCGCCTTCCGAGATGTACGACACATTCGTCCGAGTCTCGTGATTGAATCGTTTCTGTCCCGCGGTAAGACTGCGCGATTGCCAAGCCCTCGAACGATCTGGATTAAAAACAGAAAAAACAGTTAGATAAGTGTTTACGTAAACTCTTTTTCTATCTGTTCCTCTCACTCCATGTACAGTGTCGTTTTCAAGGCGACGAACCACTACTCACCGTGGAACGGCTTTTCCAAAATGGAAATGTATCTACGGTGACCATGAAGACTGGTGATCACTGGTGAGCTCTTGCTTAACGTCGAGCGCAGCATGTCTAACGATTCACGATTCGATTGTGCCGACGGCTACCAACTCTTATATGTATGTCACACTATCGGCACAAGCTATAATAATAGTCTGTACTCGATGTATTTACTATTGACACTATTTACATACGTCGGTTTCGTACCCGTTATTTCTCCAGTCGAGTTCCGACAGACGTGCGCGCACACTACACAAGCGAAGCATCGACTGCTAACTAAAAATCGAAGACGAATAAAGTTCTGTACGGGTACTTATGCAATCATGGAACTGTCGATGATAAATGAACATCGCAGTTTCCTTTGTATCTTTTTATCGCAAGCAATGGCCTCGCTGTCGCGTTATCAGGGTAAGTCACTTTTCTTAGGGGCAATTAACAACGATGCCCTCGGCAATAACGATGTTATTGTCAAAAATGCAGAATATTTCGAATATTTCGGTTGTCTGGTGGCTTTATTGCCGATGAATGAATGATAAACGGACTTTCCTCAAGATAATTCGTTATCGTTGGCCTCGTTGCAACGCAATAGTCCTTCCTTTGGAATGTCTAATCGAGCCGTGTAGAAAGGGGAATCGTTCCTTGCGTAAATACAGGGGTTAAGGTACATTTCATTCCAGCGTTTTTCGACTCGTACATTCTCCGAGTACTAAAAACGCACACCATGTTCGGTGAGTTACGTTCGTTTCCACCGTTTATAAATTCGAAGGGAATTGCTCGATGTTTCGAGGGAGAAATGCAACCCCCAGCGACAAGAGAAAGAATCGAAAGAAAGTACAATGAAAGACGGAAAGAGGATAAAACGGTGTCGCGTGAAGAAACACCGATAAAAACGTTCTGTCGCTCGTAGCAGAATAGTAAATAACGAAAAATGTAAAGTGTCCGTGATATACGAGACCGAAAAACAATACATCATCGTTCTCACGTGGTTATGGCATTGAAAAATCAGTCGATAAGGTTCTAACTTTAACGCAACCGATCATAACGATTCTTCTGATGTCTCTTTTAACACGTTTAATGCCAGAGTGAAAAAGGTCGTACGTAACCAGACACGCTTCCTTTCTTTTTTTAAATCATAAATCCATTATTTATTAGAATTATTTTTATTAGAATTATTTTTATTGTTATAAGTCTGAATAATATTTAAGCCATGTTTTACTGAATTTATGCACATATTGTTACAAATATATTGTAAACTCGTATTGTATACTTTTCTGAATCCAAGATAGTCGAAAAACCTGCACGTTTGTGGCGCCCTGTTGGGGGCCTACAGACCCCCACAAACATGCGCGAGCGGGCTCGGTTGCTCAACATTGGATTAAACGTTAACTATTAAATCTGTGGTTGTTAGAAAAAACGCCGAATTTTGCATTTTTCACTTTCGAGATATTGTCGTTTACAATTTTAAACACAAATTCTTGTTATCAACTGTATTTACTTATTTTCTTTTTATCACCTAAATGTATATTTCCGACATTTTACATATTTTTCTGTGCACGACATTGCTCTTTTTGTAAAATACATGTCGTATGTGATAAGGTGCTATTTTCGGTAAAACGAAAATATGGAGCATGAATATCTTTGTTTTATTTCATAGAAAATAAGTGATAGTATACGCAGATTAAAAGAAGTAAAAAATAAAAAACGGTCAGAAAAGAAGACACGACTACCATCGTAATCTCCAAATATAGTGGACTTACGTTGCTTTGCCCAAAGGTCGATGTATATTATCCGCACAGACATGGAACGTATCCGATCAGACAAGTATTCTTCAATGCATTTGGATATAAGGTCTTTATACTCATATTAATCAGAATGTTTTCTTGTAACTGAAGTACAATGAACCACTGTTTGGAGGCACTGTAATTATGACATGTTTACCGCAAAGTGCATTTCTGTTGGTTGACCGACCGGATGCCACCGTCTGAAAAACATATATAATATAAATACTCGTATCGTCAATTAATCATTGCCGATACAGAAACGTTACGTATCGGACGCGAACAATTCATTAAGGTTAATGAATTGAATATTGCACTTCGGATTAATTGCGTTATTTGTCCGCTCGTATAAAATTTGTTTCCATGCGTTTCTTTCGAACAAACACATGAATCCAGTATTCCACAGCTCGATCAATGCATAAACCCAAAGTTTTTCAAATTCTGACATCGGGGGTTTTCCTTTACAGCCACAGAAATAACCGTGTTCTATCAGTATTTGCGAACAAAAGTTACTCCCGTCAAAGCACCCGAGGATAACTCTATCATCGTCAGAAAACTGCCCGAATATTCTCGACCAATCCTACATATTTCACGGTGTAATTAATCCGTAACACCCCTGCAGTTTCCCCCGTTGTCCACGCTCGACATTCCGAACTAAAGTATAATCTCATTCCTCAAAAGGGAGGAACGCCACGCTCGGACAGAAAAGAAAAAGAAAGAAGAAACAAAACAACCCTCGAGGGAGGAAAGAAGGGCTCTTGATATAGCGGTGGTAAATCGCGTCGTCGTCAGGGGTGAAGGAAGAAGGAGGAGGGCAACGGTTAGTCTAAAACCGGCGGGCCGAGATAGGTGGATGGCGTGCCTTGTGGCCCGCGCCGGAAGTCGCGTGTCGACGTCGACCATGCCACCACCGTACCACCGTTCCGCGCCACCCCCACCACCCTTCGAACCTGCTGGTGGTGGGTATAGCGTGTACACACTCGGTTTCACCGCCGCTACCACCTCTGGGCTCGGTTCGGTGCACGGATCTGCCCGCATTTTCTTAGCTTCCGAGGAACCGAGGCCTACGGTGGCCTCTAGCCGGTCGGTCAGGCTCTGGTTTAGGCAGGACGCGCGTCCTCTCCGTCGGTGTGCTGCCCCCGTGGCTGTGACCGGAGGGGGTTCGATTCGTTTCGGTGGTGCACATACCCGCCCCGTTAACCCCGTGATTTCGCGCGTTGGCGTGACAGTGATTGGTCGATCTTCGTTCCCAACGAGAGGGTCGAGGGAGAGCTGCCCTCCGCTACGTAGCGTCTTCAGAACTGCCAGGATAAACGCGCCGTTAACACGCGCTCGAGGGTACCGACGCCACCGCTCTCCGACCGTTGTCAATGCGATCGAGCCCGTCGTGACGGTAAGAAATCAGGGATCGAGGGCTTCGGAGGAATCAACGGATCAGATAGAGAATCGTGACGGGGATTCGCTACGAACAGGATTTCGAAAGAAGGAATAAACCGATCGGTGGTGGATCTGCGAATGATGCCAGGCTCGACGATGAGACACCCACGGAAGAGGTACCATGAGCAGTAACAGCAAGAAAGTGTCGGGAGGGAAGGACGACAAGAAGAGCCCCTCGAGCAAAGAGGAGAGCCCCGTGGTCGGCAAGGATGACGCCGGTGGATCGTCCTCGACGGGAAGTACCGGCGCCTCCGCCGCCGGTGCAACGAATCCGGATGCAACACAGCCCGGAAGTAAGCCTGGATCGGCCGGGGCAACAGCGAGGGAAGCCGCGCAAAAGCTCCTCGGGGTTGCCGCGCGCGGAGAATGGGCACCGGTGGACCAGCTGCTCAAATCTCTGGAGAAGACGGTGCAGAACGTCGGGGAGGATGGCACGCTGGCGCCTCTCGCCGGTCTCATGGACCCGGTTAGTTGACGAGAACGATCGATCGGGAGAGAAATTGCACTGATTTTCGTTCACGAACGGATATTGTCTTCTGATATTTCCAGGTGACGGGCATGACGCCGCTGATGTACGCTGTGAAAGACAATCGGACGGCGTTGCTCGACCGGATGATCGAGCTGGGAGCGGACGTGGGCGCGAGAAACAACGCAAGTATCCACGTGAAAATAATTCCTTAATAGTCGAGATTGATCACCGTTACGCGAACGCTTCCGTGAAATGATTCAAAGGACTTCCCGCGGATCGATCCCATTCGCATGGTCCCGCCGAATTCTATGAACGACGACGACGACCATACGGTTTTCGTGCCGCGGCGACTCGGCTCGCGAGGCGTTAGCTTATAAAATAAACTCGTGCCCGCGTTTACGTGGCCGCGACACGTAATATTCGAGGCAGGCTCTGCGTGGCGGTCGGGCTCCTTATGTGTGCTCTGACCACGGTACGTGTACAGTTAACGATCTCCTTGTAATCCGTGTTGAAGTCGAACGGAGGTGGGTAAGATCGCGTGAAGGAGGGCCAAGGCCAAGGGGTTCCGTTGGGGTAGCGAGAAAGTAACGCGCGCCCGTATAACTAGGCCGTCGAGTCACTAGGGCGAAAAAGTAGTCCTGATTACGGCCGCTGATAACGAACGCGACTTTTCGAGATTCGATCGGCGCGTTTCTTCGCGGCCGTGAGATGATTATGGGACGACGCCTACGCTTCCACGAATCTCGAGAGCCCTTGGCCGAACGACCGACCGCTACCACGCAACGGAAACGTTATAGTATATGCAACGGTATTCCCCATTCACCGTGAATTCGAGGAACCTCTCGAACGATTCCAGAAACGATGACGCAACGCCCAAGGGGTGCTCGCCTAACGAGGCTAATCGCGAGCCTCGTGATCTCGCCGTGCCCCACCCATCGGTCCGACATCATTTTCAAATCGTTCGATCCTATATAGAAAGAACGTTCCTTTTATTCTGGGCGCGGCAAAACGCGATTTATAACCCCAGGGGTTTCCCTGCCAGCCACTCTCGAGACCAGCGAATCTTGTCGGTTCCCCTGGCGATTTATTCCTCGACCACGATCCCAGGCCACCCAGGGAGCTATTTCGTTCGATCGGTCGGAAGTAACCGCAGAACCGGGGGCGGGGGTATATGGAACTCGCGTTGATCATAGACGGAAATCGTTCCGCGTCCCGTTCACGATATCGCTGATCGTTTTTCACAGGACAATTACAATGCTCTCCACATCGCGGCCATGTACTCCAGGGAGGACGTCGTCAAGCTGCTGTTGTCGAAACGCGGCGTCGATCCGTACGCCACTGGAGGGGTAGGAACCAGTTCCAATTTCCATCGATTATCGTTTCCATTCTAAAGCACCGTGGATCCGGGAATACCGCGATAGAGCCAGTTTATTCATTAAGGTCGTTACTACTTTAAACTCTCACGGGCATCTTGATTGAAAGTTTCTCTCGTTGTTCGCCCCAAGGCTTTCCACCTTGGGTCATTGGCTCGTAGTAGTATTTCCATTTCACGTGTCCCAACCCTGAAATACATTAATTCCACGATTCAGTTGTTGTTACAAATGAACATTGTGCAATGTTCGAAGTACAGCCGAAACAACAAACTGCGGTGCATTTGGTCGCGTCGAGACAAACGGGCACAGCGACGTCGATTCTTCGAGCGCTATTGGCCGCCGCCGGACGAGACATCAGACTGAAAGTCGACGGGGTAAGCATACGATAACGAATTTGTTTCCTTCTATGTTTCGAAATTCTTCCGTGAACTTGCTACATTATTTTTTTTTCTTACTCAAACGTTACACCAATCGACCGAATTCGTCTTCCATCACGATTTCTATCGCCCAATGGGTCCCGATTCCGCCGTTCCACGTTTCTCGCGTGACGCGAATGATGCCCCGGGAATATCACTGCCTGGTACCGAACAGCTATCATAATTCTCCGCCGGGTCGCTTCTTCTTCTTCCTCTTCTTCTACTTCTGCCTCCCTTCAACCAATTCCTCATCCATTCCCCCCATTCCTCCCCGCGTACAGCTCTCCTAATGTTCTCCGTTCTTTGTCTCGTAAAAACGAACGGGGACTGGGACGGTATTCGGCTCGCCAACGTCGATATTCACTTCTTCCCGCATTACGAAATACGGCTATTTATGGAAATCACACGTCCCGCCCACGTTCTTCTTTCCTCGCTGTAATCGACCCATAGCGCAACGATTAACTCGGGGATCAACCCCCGGATCGAAATTCTTAGGAAGCTACGGGGATACGGAGCTGACCTTTACGTTATACGTTTTCGCAGAAAGGGAAGATACCACTGTTATTAGCGGTGGAAGCTGGCAACCAGTCGATGTGTCGGGAACTGTTGTCTCAACAGGCACCGGAACAGCTTCGAACCACCACCCCGACAGGAGACTCCGCGCTTCATCTGGCGGCCAGAAGAAGGGACATCGATATGGTCCGGATATTGGTAGACTACGGGGCGACTGTGGACATGCAAAATGTACGAAAAATCAGACAGACAGACAGTCAGACAAACCGTTAGAACTTTCGAAACAGAATAGAAAATACCCATGGCAGTTACACATTACACGGCCTTTCAGGGGGACGGGCAAACGGCACTGCACATCGCTAGCGCTGAGGGCGACGAGACCCTGGTCAAGTACTTTTACGGTGTAAGGGCCTCCGCCTCGATCACCGATCACCAGGATCGTACTCCCATGCATCTGGCCGCAGAGAACGGACACGCAACGATAATCGAATTGCTCGCGGACAAGTTCAAAGCCAGTATATTCGAGAGGACCAAGGACGGGTCCACGTTGATGCACATCGCCTCGTTGAACGGCCACTCGGAGTGCGCGACGATGCTCTTCAAGAAGGGCGTCTACTTGCATATGCCGAACAAACGTGGCGCCCGGTCGATTCACACAGCGGCCAAGTACGGTCATGTCGGGATCATAAGCACTCTGCTGCAACGGGGCGAGAAGGTACATACACGGAATTTCAAATGGCTGGGAGGGATCACTGCGAGCGGAATAACTTTCTGAACTTCGTGGAATAGTTGCCGGGAGGCGGGGGGAGGGGCCGCCCATTGCGTTAAGTAATCGCTCTTAAAGCCAGTTACCTATTCCGATGGCTAACCCATAAAGATTAAAACTACCCTGTTACGCGGCTGTTAAAGGCTTAAAACCGAAAATATTGTATAATTTCTGACCTATGCTCCGCGAACCATACGCAGGTAGACGCGACGACCAACGACAATTACACGGCATTGCACATTGCCGTGGAGAACGCGAAACCGGCAGTCGTCGAAACTCTGTTGGGATACGGTGCAGAAGTACACGTCAGGGGCGGCAAGCTTCGCGAGACTCCTCTTCATATTGCGGCCAGGGTGCCGGACGGTGAAAGATGCGCGTTGATGCTGCTGAAATCTGGAGCCGGACCGAATCTGACCACCGACGACGGTCAAACACCTGTCCACGTAGCGGCTAGTCACGGAAACCTAGCCACGTTGTTGCTGCTCCTCGAGGACGGCGGGGATCCCATGTACAAGTCGAAGGTAGGACAATCCTAATAATTCCACTGTTGGGATGAATCGATTAAGTGAATAAGAGAGCTTTATAAATATACAGGATGGACCACGAAATGCGATCAGCTTAGATTATTGTACTGCTAGATCGTATATATTTTTTTTGGCTAATATAACATAACTTGAGAGCTTTAAGTTGATTGCACCCAATTTGTTGTCAAACCTTTGTTTCCAGAGTTTTCAAGGCCACCTTCAGTTTTGTTATACATAAACCTATCACTTTAGAATAGTGAGACGAATTCAGCAAGCATCACAATTTTTTTCTTCAAATACAGCTACTAATAGTAACATATACTATTATAATTAGTATTATAATTCCACCTTTATCGTTTCTCTAATACCTCTTCCACGACGACGCGAATCCTCCCGCAGAACGGTGAAACGCCGTTGCACTTGGCTTGCCGCGGTTGCAAGGCGGACGTGGTGCGGCACCTGATCCAGTTCGTGAAGGAGAGGAAGGGCCCGGAAACGGCGACTGCCTACGTGAACAGCGTGACAAACGAGGGCGCGAGCGCTCTGCATTACGCCGCCCAGATCGAACCGTCGGAAGTCGTGGTTCCCGGTGACGATCGAGCGGTGGTTCGCGCCCTACTGGAGGGCGGAGCGGATGTCTCTCTGCAAACGAAACAGACGCAGGAATCGGCTTTCCATTATTGCGCGCTCGCCGGCAACAACGAGGTGTTGTCCGAGATGATTAGTCGTATGTCCGCGACCGAGGTGCAGAAAGCGTTGAACCGTCAGAGCGCGGTCGGCTGGACGCCGTTGCTAATTGCGGCGCACCGTGGCCATATGGAGCTGGTCACAACATTGCTGGCGAATCACGCCAGGGTCGACGTGTTCGATCTCGAGGGACGATCTGCCCTTCATCTAGCGGCGGAACACGGTTACCTACAGGTCTGCGATGCGTTACTCGCGAACAAAGCGTTCATAAACTCGAAGTCGCGGGTCGGTCGAACAGCGTTGCATCTGGCGGCGATGAACGGTTACTCGCATCTCGTCAAGTTTCTGATCCAAGACCACGGCGCCGCTATAGACGTTCTCACGTTACGAAAACAAACGCCTCTTCACTTGGCAGCTGGGGCTGGCCAGTTGGAGGTGTGCAAACTTCTGCTGGAACTCGGCGCGAGCATAGACGCTACCGACGATCAGGGCCAGAAACCGATCCACGCGGCGGCGATGAACAATTACGCGGAGGTCGCCCAGCTGTTCTTGCAACGGCATCCGAGTCTGGTGATGGCGTGTACCAAAGACGGGAACACTTGCGCCCACATAGCTGCGATGCAGGGCAGCGTGCGAGTGATCGAGGAGCTGATGAAATTCGACCGGCAAGGTGTCATCTCCGCGCGTAACAAGCTGACGGAGGCGACGCCGCTTCAGCTCGCGGCCGAGGGAGGACACGCGGAGGTGGTGAAAGCGTTGGTCAGAGCTGGCGCGTCGTGCGCGGACGAGAATCGTGCGGGATTCACCGCGGTGCATCTTGCCGCCCAACACGGGCATGGTCAGGTGTTAGAAGTTATGCGATCATCCACGTCTCTTCGTATATCCAGCAAGAAACTCGGCGTTACAGCTCTTCACGTGGCTGCTTACTTCGGACAAGCTGGTACGGTCTTCCTTCTGTGAATATAAAATACAGTGGACTCTTGATCGAATGCAGTTTGCTATAATGCCACGCGAGGGAGTTCTATTCGTGTGTACTTTCACGCACCCAAATTCGCTTTCTCAAGTTACTCAAGTACTTGAGAATTGTACCCTCCTACAGCCTCGGCAATATACAATCAACAGTCCACTGTAGTCTCACTCTTTATCCTCAACGAAAATTGAAGAATTTCCATGTATACTCTTGCAGACACTGTACGTGAATTGCTCACCTATGTACCGGGTACGGTGAAATCCGATCCACCGACCAGTGGATCCCTCGTAGGGGAGCTGGGCTCGGAATCTGGGATGACGCCGTTGCACCTGGCCGCCTATTCCGGGAACGAGAACGTGGTCCGGCTGTTGTTGAATTCCGCCGGTGTCCAGGTATCTGGAGTGGAAAGATCGTAAGAAACATTCGCCCCGTCCACGGGACGATTCGATGATCGCGACACGCAACGCGTGATGATACTTGCCCGCAGGTGGAGGCAGCCACGACCGAGAACGGCTTCAATCCGCTTCATTTGGCCTGTTTCGGCGGTCACATCACCGTGGTGGGATTGCTTCTGAGCAGATCGGCGGAGCTGTTGCACAGCGCGGATCGTTACGGGAAAACCGGTCTGCACATCGCGGCGACCCACGGACATTACCAGATGGTCGAGGTGCTTCTGGGCCAGGGGGCGGAAATAAACGCGACCGACAAAAACGGTTGGACCCCGTTGCATTGCGCCGCACGGGCCGGTTATCTCGATGTTGTTAAGCTGCTCGTGGAGAGCGGCGCATCGCCGAAGAGCGAGACCAATCTCGGTTGCGCGCCGATTTGGTTCGCCGCCTCGGAGGGCCACAACGACGTGCTCAAGTATCTCATGGAGAAGGAGCACGATACATATGCCCTGATGGACGATAAGAGGGTAAGGCCGATGGGGGTATACCACGGTTTCGTTTCGTTTCGTTTCGTTTCGTTTCGTTTCCCTCCACCCTTGGAAACCCAAGCCAGGTCCCGAGCAACCAGGCGCAACGGGGAATTTACGAAACTCTTTTAACGCAGGCAATGATCGCTCTCGGTCGAACCGATAAATTTTCGACGAGTACCGACTCTGTAGATAGCGTGCACGCGATCCCCCTCCTCGTTAAATTCCCACCTCCCTCCCCCCTATTGTACGAAATGGTATTCGTGATGGACGCAGATCGAACTCGTGTTTTGTCTTTCAGTTCGTCTATAACATGATGGTGTGCAGTAAGAGCCACAACAACAAGCCCATAGAGGAATTCGTGTTGGTGTCACCGGCACCGGTAGACACCGCCGCGAAACTCTCCAATATCTACATGAAACTGTCGGAGAAAGAGAAGGAAAGAGCGAAGGATTTGATCGCGGCTGGGAAACAGTGCGAGGCGATGGCTACGGAACTGTTGGCCCTTGCGGCGGGCGCGGATTCCGCTGGGAAAATTCTCACTTCGATGGATCGACGGAACGTCGAGTTCTTGGACGTTCTGATCGAGAACGAGCAGAAGGAAGTGATCGCGCACACGGTCGTGCAGCGGTATCTGCAGGAGCTCTGGCAGGGCAGCCTGAACTGGAACGCGTTCAGGACGATCCTGTTGTTCATCGCGTTCCTCGTATGCCCACCTGTCTGGGTGGTGTTCGCTCTTCCCCTCGGCCACAAGTACAACAACGTGCCGATCATAAAGTTCATGTCGTACCTCACGTCCCATATTTATCTGATGGTCTTCCTGTTGCTGGTCGGCATAATTCCTATATACCCGGTGGTCAGAGCGAGCCTGTTGCCGTACTGGTACGAGTGGTGTCTGCTCGTGATGCTATCCGGACTGTTGCTATTCGAGCTTACCAATCCGAGCGACAAGAGCGGCCTCGGCTGGATCAAGCTGGCGGTGTTGCTGTTCGGGATCTTCGGGGTCGCTTTCCATCTGATGGGTTTCGTAATCGTTAGCCGACCCTACTGGCCGACCCTCCTATACCTGAGGAACCAACTGTTCGCGCTCAGCTTCCTGTTGGCCTGCGTGCAGATCCTGGACTTCTTGTCGTTTCATCATCTGTTCGGCCCGTGGGCGATCATCATCGGGAACCTGATGAAGGATCTCGCGAGATTTCTCGCTGTGTTGGCGATCTTCGTGTTCGGTTTCTCGATGCATTTCGTCGCGCTGAACCAAGCGTTCAAGAACCAATCGATCCAGGACGCACGTATCGAGGACAGGAAGAAGAAAGGCGCCTTCAACGACGGTAAGTTCGTCAAGCACGTGATCCTTCTTAGATTTCTTTTTGGGAGAGAGAAACGGAGAGAGAATAGCCTCCTGACTTTTACCCCTGTCTTATCCCTCGGATACGATCGCAGCTATACTCTGTCTATATACAAAAGAAAAGAAAAGAAAAATGAAAAGATAAGTCAGCGGCGCGGTCGATGGGACCGCGAACATGCGATACGCGCGAGTATATACACGAATACCGTCTCATCGGGGTCACGGCTCGTTATTGTGTTCGAAGCCGTGTTCAACGGCTACGTTAACACGCGTACTCGACGCATCTCCTTGTGCGGAAATCTGCTCGATCAACGAATCATATTTTCGAAGATATTCGGTATACTATATACAATATAACTCGTGCCTCCTTGGCGATCGAAATTTCCTTAGACCCTCGCGGGACGCCTTGACTTGAAACGAGTTTCGAACGTAAAGCGGCACCATGAGATTGTCCGATATCGACAGAGATATACATATAATATACATACACTACTTTTTTTTTTTATGATGCACCAAGATCCCGTCCAAACTGCCCCCGACTATTTAAGCCATAGACAAAACAAAACGCCTCGTGATAAACGCATAATCGGTTGAATTACAATAAATAGATTTGTTGGCCAATGTTACGGAATGGATGATGGAGACGCCGTCGACGGCGCCTCCTCGTCGCTACGGCCGCTACAAGAAAAAGAATGAGTGTTGTGACGATAACTCCCGAGATAGTAAGTTTTGCCGTGCGGGAACGGTCTAACGAGACCATCTTCCCGCAAACCGGAAACGGAACGCGAAATGAATGGCAAATTGGCACGTGCACAACGGAATGCAGGACACGATTCTTCTTGGTGTCGTATCGTCTGCATTGTGCGTTTCGCCGGATGTGTGTTGCCTGCTGGGACTGCTGCCTGTGATTCCAATCAAACAGACGCGAGAAATGTGTGTCTCACTACGCGTCGTTAACCCGCGCCTGCGATTCGGCCTTCCGACGCAGCTTCCCTGCTCTCGTCATCTTCTATGCAACATTTTCCCTGGATCCTTTCTTTTGAGTTCTTTCTTCTCCATCCATGGACATATCATCTGACTCCGAAACATTCCGCGGGAGACCGAATCGCGGCTACTCGGTGTGTCCACGGTAGTGATGGGCGATACAGTTTCGTTTTGCATCGATATTTAATGTGACGATATATTCCAGTATCGATACTTAACACGGTAATATCGAAATTTCGATACAATCGCTGTATTTGTCGTAACGTAACAGGCCGCAAGGAAAATGGACAAGTTTGCGATTGGTCGATTTCTTTTCCGCATTCAGAACCGTCCTTAGTAAATATCAGCTTCGATAAATGATTTATATTTATTTTTCGATTAAATTACTTCTAATTTAACTGCAAATATCGATAACCATAATATCGATATTTTCATTTCTGATATACATATGTATCGGTAGTCTGTGGTATCAATACGAAATATCGATACAATTCGAATGTAACGACATCACTACTCGACGGCTCGATCTCGATCTCGATACACCGATCTCGAGATCACAGGTGTACGTACACCCGCCGAGTGTGGGTTGACGACCACTGCCGGCTTGTTTTCTTATATCACGGGGCGCCAATCGAGCGCGCGTTTCTCCACAGCCTCTGTTGTGTTGTGCATCGTTCTGCATATTTCTCTGAACGTGCATTACTTACTTGTTATATTATACCATACAAAGAGCAATGTTGTTTTTCTCGTGCTGTTCGAGTCTTGCGCAATGCGTGTTCTGTGTGTCACTTGTGTTCGGCCAGGTCGTGTATACGGACATCGGAGCGATGGCTATCCCGGGCATAGTGTATCATCGTTTCGATCCCGGCGGTACTGTCCGACGCGCGCGCACATTCAAACCAGAAACAAATCCAACATCCTCGAACTCTCTCGATCTCTCCGTTCTACGTTTCCCATTCGTTCCTTCTGCCGTTTCGTCCCCATACAGACACGTTTCCTTCCTGCCTACCTTAATAATTCCGTGTCTTCCGACACCGGGGACGGTCGTTTTGCGTTGTTTCCCGACGCGACGATCACTCGGGGGGAAGCAGCGAGGCGTCCGAATCTTCTTGTCCTTGCATGCGCACGGTAAATACATAGTTCTTATTCTGCGTTATCCTACGTGTTTGTTCTGCGCGCGCCGCTACTTGCAAAATTCCCTTTCGAATGCTCGTGAAGAGAGTAAAGAGTGAGAGAAAGAATGACAGAAAGAGAATGAGAGAGAGAAAGAGAGAAACAAAAAAAAAAAGACACAAACGGTTCGTCGTCGTCTGCATGCTGCATCTCATCGTCCAGAGCAAACGAATCGATTATTGCCAGTCCCGTCGAGTTCCGGAGACACGGGGGTAGAGAAGAGCACACAGAGAGCCCGTGCAATCCAGCGCGATCGATAACGTATATAGATACACACACACACACCACCCATCCCGGCTTTTGTAGAAATCGACTCGATGCATCCCGCGCGAAGTTGCTCGTAGCGGATATGTACCTTGCGCTGCAAATGAGAGAGAAAAAAAGAAATGAAAAAAAAATATGTAATGCACCAGACGGAATATAGAATAATTCAAATTCAAAAAGAACAAAAAAAAAAAAAATGAACTAAGTAACTAACAAATACCACCTTCGACAAGTTAGACGACACCCGAAACAAAAAAAAAAAATGTTACACGACGTGGATCGAAGCTCACCTGAACGTCCGGCATGCATCCAACGTTATTCGCAAAGCATGGCCAGTCTCTGTAATTAGCATGAGCATGTTCGTTCAAGTACGTTCATCGTTCGTTCGTTCGTTCGTTCGATCGTTCGTTTACTTCTAATGTGCGTATGATACACCACCCGCATCCATACATAGCGAGCCCACCAGTAGCCAGCCTGTCTGAACGGCACGAAGCAGCAACAAAACGCCAGTAACCTCACGAGAGAATACCAATGTGAAACCAAAAAAAAAAAAACAAACAAACAAACAAACAAACAAAAAAGACAAAAATCAAGAACCATATGTGTGTTGTGCCTCGAATTCCAGTAAAGATGAACCCGGTACTCGCCTTCGAGTACCTGTTCTTCGCGGTCTTTGGCCAGACGACCCACGGCGAGCTGAAGGTCGAGACCAATCAGCCGCAGTGGACCTCGGTCCTCTTCAAGCTGGCATTCGGCGTATACATGTTGGTCTCGGTAGTCGTATTAATTAATCTGCTGATCGCGATGATGAGCGACACCTACCAGCGGATACAGGCGCAATCGGACATTGAGTGGAAATACGGGCTGAGTAAACTGATCCGTAATATGCACAGGTAAGCCTCTCGCGGGCGAACGTATCTCGTTTCGAGGCCGTTACCGGATCGCTCGTCGCGCTCCGATCGGAATTCAAGTTAATGTATGTTGCGTCCACGAAAACATTCACCTCCGCGGATAAGGGAGCCTACGCATTTTTTGCCGACGAATAATCGTCGCCACGTACACTATGCATATCGTGCTAACCACGATAAACACAATGCAACCAATCCCCCTCTTATATCTCGTTTTGCGAATTCGGCCACCTGCCGCGTCGCGTCACTCGCCATTTGTAGTTCACAAAAATTCAAACCGAAAAATCTCTGCGGGATAGCCTGGACACGCGATTCCGTGTTGCAGAACGACCACCGCTCCGTCGCCCCTAAACTTGCTCACTACATGGATCGTGTACTTCATCAAGGTGTGCAAGCAACGCGCAGCCAAACGTAAACGGCCCTCGTTGGTCCACATGATGGGACTACAGCGGGCCGGTCGTCTGTCGCCAAGATCGAAGATGGGGGCGAAATGGTTGGCGAAAGTGAAAAAGGGTCAGGTCAGACCGAAAGACAGCGTCGCCCTGTCCGTGGTGCATTTAAGTCCTCTCGGTAGCCAATTGTCCTTCAATAGCGCGACCAGGATCGAGAGCGTGGTAGACTGGGACTCGATCAGAAAGAAATACCTGGCACTGACCGGCAACGAACCTGAGAAAGAAGCGGACAAGGATGACAAGGACGAAGAGAACGAGAACGAGGAGGAGAACGGACCGACGGCGACCAACTCGTCCACGGTACCAGCGACGACTTCGACGCCACCGATCTAGAGGAACCATACGGTTCCTCGCCTCGGAAATAACGGAAGAGTTCGATCCACCCCGTCGCGAATGTACGATTGTAAATTACCCGAACCGCGATGATGCGATTAAAAAGAAAAAGAAAGAGCTCTACCGCGTCGAAAGAATATCATCCTAGGCAACATCTCGTAGTTGGACACGTGACCTCTTCGAAGATCGACGATCTTTACCGCGAGTCTATAGTCCCGAGCTGGTAGCATTTCGGAATTTACGTAAGTAGCGTCCGGAACACGATACAGCGTGATACGAGTGTTATCGTGAGTCCAACGTTGACCCAGCATGGCTATCCTTCTTCTTGGACTGCGCTTCAATTTGCCCCTCCTCCCGCTCCGACGGTTTCTTCGCGATAAATCCACCGTCTCCTCGTAACTTGAACAAAAAGCGAAAATTAGCAGCGGGAGTTGTAAACAGTCTCGCGAATGCATCCCCTTAAATTTAAGATCTTAGTACGACGCAGAGGTTTCTTTCGCGGTTTAGCGATTAGCCGTTAGCAACACAGAAGCCTCGAGAAGCTCGAGGCGGACAATGAACATGCACGTACAATTACAAGCATCCAAAAATGAAAGAAACACACACACGGAACATTATAATATACATACGTACATACAGACAGCATCCATTGCCTTAAGCCGGCCCGCGGTGCAACAGACTTTTTCACCAGACATATCGTTCCCACGTATTTCCAGTCAGGATGAGTCCCGTACTGGCCGTTGAGTTATTGTTCTTCGCCATCTTCGGTCAGACGACCCACGAACAATTCAAGGTCGAAATAATGCAGCCCGAGTGGACCACAGTGCTCTTCAAGCTCGCCTTCGGCATTTACATGCTGGTCTCGGTGGTCGTGCTGATTAATCTGCTAATCGCCATGATGAGCGACACATACCAGCGGATACAAGCTCAGTCCGACATCGAGTGGAAGTACGGATTGAGTAAGCTCGTTAGGAACATGCACAGGTAAGAGGGACTGTTATAATCCACCGCTCAACAACCAGGCTCTCCAATTATCAATCTGTAAAATTTCCCCCCCGATGCGTTTTGCATGCCCGCGTATTCCGATGTCGAGTCCGCTCTGTTTCGTTCATCGACGGTTCTCCCCCATTCGTTGCATAGGGTACACCGCGAAAACATCATAATTGACCGGTGCACATTTGTCGAATGCGCAGGACAAGCACAGCGCCATCCCCGCTGAATCTGCTTACCACCTGGATGGCGTATTTGTACAAGCTGTGCAAGAAACGCGCCGCGAAAAAGCAACGACCTTCTCTCGTCCGCTTGATGGGGGGATTGCAGAGATCCGACGCGTTATCTCCGCGTTCCAGAATGGGCGCCAAGTGGCTGTCCAAAGTGAAAAAGACTCAGGTGGGCCACAAAGACAGCGTCGCCTTATCCGTCGTTCACCTGAGCCCCCTTGGTAGCCAGCTATCGTTCAGTAACGCGGTCAGAATCGACAACGTCGTCGATTGGGAAGCGGTCAGACGAAAATACCGTGATCTCTACGGCGAGAAAGTCGAGAAACACGCCGAGGAATCGAAAGAGTCCACGGAACACGAGACGTTCACGGCGACTCTGGAAAACACATTGGTCGCGCCAACCGCCGGAAATCAGGCTGCGCCCACCACAGTTCCCTGAATCGATCAATTGTCGACGATCGATGCTTCAATACCACAGACGGCCAATCATAACATTGTTTTCCAACAAATATATTGTACAGTTCCCTCTCGTACGACGATCTTTCTTATCAAAATAAACGTCCAAATCGACAGGTCCCGTTTTGTGGTTGTACTACTACCAGCGAACCTCTCATCCTTTCTCGCGACACGGTGTAACACCGACGATCGTTTACGAGCATAACGATACCAGTAAGGTGGTTAGTCCTCGTGCACTGTCACTGTTTAGTATACTATCTGCGCCTTCAATGTTTCACCTATAAATTGAGAAACCGATACAGCGACTCCTTTAATGTATTAGCGATACAATCCTCGAGAATGTTTGCATGAATGCATGCTTCACGACGCTTGCAACCCACCGATACCGTGTACGCGTATTCGCGATATCCGTTTGTATCGCGAAATCGGTGCATCGACCGTCCGCCGATGATCAGCTTCTTGTCGATCACAACACGCATTCTTCATCGCTCGATCACAACGTCGTCTCGACATCTCATGCATATGCCGTTTGAAACGTTCGAAATTCATTTTATAGACCATTCACTCTTCATGCTCTATTTTCTTGTTCTGTCGATCGTGATCATGACTCTCCTATTCATTTCCCTGGCATGCAATTTCGAACTGGGATCAAATCTAAAACATTCAACCATATCACCTTCGAATGAAAAATCATTTACATTTCATGAATTCATGCAAGTTCGAATCGTCACTGGTAAATGCAACTCAGACACACAACCTCTGCGTTCCATCGAGGATACGTTCGCCAACTTAGACGGTTGATTACGTTCTTTCAGTGAAAGTGAATCCCATCGAAATGACGGAAAATCTTTTCTTCGCTATTTTCGGCCAAAAGGACACGGACGACTTCACGGTATCGTTAAAACGAAAACTGCAACCGAGCTGGACAATATATTTGTTTAAGGTCAGGACAACGTTCGCAGAACGCCACTCGGGGTAACATGTTTTACAGCTCAACGAATCCTCGGTCAATGATCACCTGATAATGTTCCGGCAGGTATCTTTTTCTCTCTACATGTTGGTTAGCGTTATAGTGCTGATCAATCTGTTGATCGCGATGATGTCCGACACTTACCAAAATATCCAGTCCCAGAGCGATATCGAGTGGAAGTACGGGCTGAGTAAGCTCATTCGCAAAATGCAAAAGTAAGTAGACGTTATCCGTTCAATGGAATGTCGGTAATCCTGTCGACTAACTAGGGAAAAAATTATAAAATAAAAATACGATATACAAATTAGAAAATTAAATTTATCTAACGAACAATTTGGAACCATGTTTTTTACTCCGAGTAACCAAAGTTTCCGGTAAATTAAATCTTCGATTTTCATTCTATGAATTATCGTGTCTTCTCTGAACTTTCATCGTGAAAAGGTAACGTCGCTAGAATAGAAACATTGTTATCATTCGTACAACATAATTCTGTTCAGTGAGCGACAAAAATTAGTAGCTATCTTTTTTTAAGAACAAAAACAGCGCCATCGCCATTGAACCTCTTCTCCTCCTGGATCGCGTACGCTGTAAAACCCTGCAAAGCGCGGCAGGGCCACGAGCGCAAAACGGGTGTGATGCGTCTATTCGCGAGCCGCCCATACCTTCAGGTATGTGAAATATTAAATTATCCTTATTCTAAAATATCGACGTTTGTTATTTCCTTCTCGCACAGGACAACGGAATATCGCATCAGCAACGAGACGCCATTAATTTTCCATTACTTCGACCAAGCCCGTTGGAAAGTCAATTATCTTTCAAAGACTCGTCGAAAATAGAAAACGTCGTCGAATGGGATCTCGTGAGGCAAAAGTACAGAGTACAGTTCGGAGATGAAACTGAAAAGCCTCCTTCAGATGATTCCTCTACAATTAATACAAACTTTTAAATGTTTTTATACACTTGTTCTAACATTTATGAACACTTTAGATTCGCAATATACTTCATCACATGACTCTTTATACCTTCTATTTGATATCTCTTTTACCTTGTTGCAAATATTAGAAACTACAACTGTAAAAAATTATTCTTATCTACCAACCAAAGTTTCTTCCGCTACGTTTAAATCCTTGATATAATATAAATTGTGACAGTCATCCTGAAGTTCCTATGAATTCTACTCTTGCACAATGAAGAAAAAGGCAAGAAAATTTCTGCAAAATACACTCTTTTTCCTTGAAAAATATAAATGTTTAAACAATACATACTTTAATGTTTCATAATACACGTAATACCGAAATTTCATATAAACTAATGGTCAACACTTCATATAACTAATGGTAACAAATATAATTATTTTTATAATATATTAATAATTATAATTATAATTATATTAATTATAATAACGTATCTTAACAAATATAATTAATAATTATAATTAATAATTATATTTGTTAAGATATGTTATTTCTCGCCCATATCTCTTGTGCTTAGTGATCGAAAGGCCAAATGCAGCAGCTTGCTCGCGTATGCACTTGTCTTCTTCCGGTGTTAACGATTCCGGAAGTGGTTGCCTTAATAATTGGCTGTCTTTTGAGAAAGTCTCGCACATCTTGCGCACAACTTTCGCAAACGAAGATTCTTTCTTCTCTTTCTGCTCAGTTTTTAAACAATTTGCCCAAAGTTGTTTTTCTATTTCCAAGTACTTTCGTTGCTTCTCATTTACCTAAAAATAATGAGTCAAATAAAATGCTCTGCATATACGCTCGTTTCGTTAAAGTCTGACAGTTACCAATCTAATTTCTTTAATGGTTTCTTCATTGTTAGGCTCTATTGCAACAGCCATTTGTAATTGTTCCATTGCTTTGGTATACTCTCCCATTTTTAATAAAGCTCGTCCATGACTATAATATAGAACATAATATAGAACGTGCTTTTATCTACATAAATATTCCTCATGCCAGAAAATGGAATTAATAAAACATACTTAAAATGAGTTTTAGCGGATGGCATGGGTACTCTATTGCATGCATTACAAGCACGACGTGGCATGTTCTCCATATTATAACAAACTGCAAGGTTGCTATAACCTCTTGAAACCAACTTGTTAAATTCCTCTTCGTCTTCATCATTTTGTAATTGTGCCTCCTCTAACCATTGAATTGCTTTTGCATACCTAATATTATGTTACAATTACTATAATATTAAGTTTGAACGTTGAGGAAACTTACTCTCTTATTGCTTGCTTGATTTTTTTCCTCCTAAAATAATCTTTAGCAGTATTGAACTTAGCTGATACCCCTCTAACAACATTTGCAAATATTTTTCTCTCATCTATAGGAAGATTTTCAAGAGTCTTTACAGACCCATTATCTAGATAATCAATCAAGTGGACAATGAATAAAATTTGTTCATTTGGAGGAATACGAGGAGCACAACCGAATCTTCCATAAGCCAAATCAGAATGTACAATAAATATTGCTATTTCATGTTTTTGCATAGTTGATATGGCAATCTCTAAACCTGGTAGTAGCGAGCCTTGACCAAGAAGAAAAGTTTCTGCTCCTCCACGAGTAAAACTGGAATCAAATGGTTCATCATTGTATTCAAAATGTCCCATGTATTTTATAGTAACTTGGGCATTGGAAGGTATAATCTCTCCAACACCTTTCTGTTTCAACAACTTCATAATCTACACATAACATAAAAAGCAATATATTAATGTACAAGAACAAACAACCTATTAATGCATATAAATTTCTTACATAAAAGAATATTTACTTTGCCATTTCCAAGTATATCTGTCATTTTAGTCTTTAACTTGTCAAAGCTTATACCAAAGAGGGAAACAGAATTATCTTTGGTAGTATCATCATCATCATTATCATTATCGTCGTCACCATCTTGGAAATCGTCCATATTCAATAAATTTAAAGCTTCTTCATTAGTTAGAGGAATCGCCGGCGAATAAGAAAATTCTTCTTCGTCCATACCCTGGTATTCACCGATTTCAAAAACCAGACCATCTTGCGTTGTTAAATCACTAAATCGAATATTTAAATACAGTTCTTGATTCCGAAGCTATACATTATTACAATTTATTTAATCCTATGTATGTACCTCAGAGTAAATCCTTGCGTTGCGTTCACACACCTTGCCATTGTTATAGTATACAGCTTACAGATGTTCGGAAGAATATTCGAATATGAATCTTTATTGCTCTAAACGCTAACCTGTGTTAAGAAATTATTAATTGCTCTGAAAGTCAATCTTAACCGAAAACTAAATCTTAAAAAAATACTTACACACGCGTCCTTAGAATCCAACTCTCATGTGCTCACATGTGGTCTCATATACTACCATGTATATACTGTACTTTTGAAAAGCAAAACATACTCCACTCTCCTACATTCCACTTTGTCACACTCACGTGTGCTTTATACATATATCATATCTACACTGTATTACACATGCTACTGTAGCGCGATCTATTTACAAGCATTGACAAGCATTCTTTGTTTTCAACGTGACAGACGTTTAGTAAATATTAACTAATTATTAAATAATAAATATAAGTTTAAAAAATATATTGCGACAATAACAACACAATTACAGTATTCCCATAAAATGAGTAACAAAACTTTTCTTGATATCGATGATACGATATTAACAAAAAACTTAACATTACCTGTAAGTAAACATTGATTATATAAATATTATATTGTAATTTATATTTATGAAATATACATATGTAATTTCTGTAGGAAACTATAGCACAAGAAGACAATTTACTGAAACAACTGGATTCAAAACCCTTCTTTATCATTCAACCTACACCTGGTAAGTTCAAATAAATACTATAAAGAAAAAACAATTAAGAGAAGTAAATACATAATTTCTGTTTTGTGTAATGCTTTAGGAATATGTGTAAAAGCAAAGACTGATGGAGGGGAAAAAATTTTTTTAAATATATGTATGTCAGACAAAATACCAGCACCTGAAGATTTATCTGATACAAAACTTGATGAGTTATTGTCAGACGAAGATCCAGAATTTGTTTTACCTATGAGTATTGGCAGTGAAAGACTTGAATCTGATAAAGGTACCCAAAATTTCTAAACGAATCATAATAAAAGTTATATCATATCTATATATAATCATAATAAACATTATATCATCTGATATGATCAACCTTATAGGTGGATCTCCATGCATAACATATGATATTGCAATTAATACAACATACTGTGAAAAATGTCAGAAGAAGAAGACATTTATGTTCTTTACAATAGCAATTATAATGGATGGTGTAGCAAATAAGTTTAATAAAAATTTAAATAGATTAGACTTTGTAATTCTTAAAAATCGTAAGGTATACTTCACCTTTTATTATGCACAAACTATATGAAATTACCAAGTTTATGTTATATTTATTACAGGTCATGGGAAAACTGCAACCACACAGAATTGAAGACCGTGGACCCAGAACACATTTACAAGCTAGAAAGCCACTTATTGAAGAGATCAAGTCCTCTACAAATGAAATTTGTACGAAAGAAAATATAATTGATGAGACAGAAAGTATCTCTTCAGAATCTATTAATTCAAAATTAAATTATGTATTGCTGAAACAACCTTTAAAAGGAGCTGCAACAAATTTGATTGGTCTATTTGATATGCCTAAAGGGGTAAGCTTCGTTCAATTTTACTTACAATAAACATTAGAGAAAGTGATGGTTTATACAAGTTTTTGCAGATTATTGGTAAAGATGTGGAAGTACTACTAGATGAAGATCGCATTGTAATTACTGCTGATAAAACTGGACTTACATATGATCTTTCACATCCTTATACCATAAATGTAGCCAGTGTAAAATGTTTTTTGGATAAAGATCTCAGAGTGAGTATTTGTTTATGAAAAAAAATCTATTATAAATGAACTTTATATTGCAATAGTATACATTTTATTAATGACTTTTACAGGTACTGCGATTGGATATGCCTGTCTAAAGTTTTGTAGACAATTTCTTAATAAATTATTATATTTCGAAACAGGTAAAACCAGTACCTTCTATTTTCTGTAATTTATTTTTCAGTAAAAATAATTCTTCAATGTGCGTGAACAGCGTAATTGCTATTAAGTTTGTAAAGTTCAATGAAAACCTTTATAGAAACAAGACAATGAAGTGAACATCATTAACACTTACGCAAAACACACCTTATACATTTTGGTATAAAAAATATTACAGAATATCCAACAAATACATTGCATAAATAAATTGTAGGATTAAATACAATTGTTTCATTTACATAAAAAGAATATCACAAGCACTGGTAGTGGAATGTAGCAACATTTGTGACAATGATAATTGCATTTTATGGCATACACAAATTCCAGAAATGTAGTATACCATTTTAATCATTCAGGTTCATAGTCATTTTATATCTCTGTGTAAAATGTCGGCCGTTCGATTCCAATCATGGTGAAAATATTTGGCAAGAGATATACTGTATTTAAACCTATCATAAAACAAGTTACATACTTTTGGACTAGCTCAATAAGAACCTTATTTTTATTTTTTGAGCAATTTTGACTTCTCATAAGATCTTTGGAATTGATTTTTAATATGGCACACATTGTTCTATAACTAAGAGATTTGCAGACAACTCTTGTTGCAAGAATGCTGCAAAATCCAAGTATTGTTCTAAGTATCAAGTAACCAAGCATTGCATTTGTAGGCCATAAAATATGATATGGTGGTGGTTTTGAGGGAGTTATCATGACTCCAGTCTTATAATTAAGCCATGCCCCAAAATGAACTCCCATTGTGACAGATATCACCATACTGGTGTCTCCTCTATAATAAAAGAATAATTGTTTGCAATTACACTGATATATCCACAGAATACAAATTTTATATTTATTACCTGGTTGGTGTCCATTTTCTGCTGGTTGGATAATAAACTATGACAATTATGCTAAAAGTAATCAAAGCCGCTAAAGCCCAAATATTAGAAATGATATAATAGTCTGTCACATCGACTAAGGGTATTAGTAAAATCATTAATGCAATGGCTAATATTAAGCCTGCGAGAATGTCTAACACTGTGTGCATGCCCAAATACAGCCTGCTCATACACACTAGTGTACACCTTTTTAAAGACACAAAGATAGTTATACATTTATCCCTTATTAACTTTATAAACCTGCTGTTAAGGCATAATGTATCACTTACCAAAGAAAAGCAATTGTCCAACCAATAGACACAGGATAAATATATCTATTCATTGTAAATAATAGTACACTGAATGGAATTGATACACCAATCATGGCATGGGTAGATGGCATACCATATTCTTCTGACCATTTTGTTTGCAATCGAACTGCTGGAGGACATGCAGGTCTTGGCCAACATATAACATCTTTTAATATTTGACCTAAATAAATACTTCTATAAGATTAAAATAATAGTCCTAGTTAGAATCGAAAATACAACAAATTCTATTTGACAAACACTTACCTGTGGTCATAATAAGTGTCCACACTAAAACAACTCTTCTACCCACAGCCCCATCAATATTCCAAAACCAAAATGGAATAAATGTAGAATAAAATAATTCATCTCCTAATTGTGTACCAAACAGAAACAGATAATACCAAAAGTAATTTGATATGGTATAATTCGCATAATTGGCAGTGGGAAATGATTGTTTCTGTTCATCATATGAAGCACAGGTATTCGTTGCATTAATGCATTTTTTTGCAATTGGAACGGCACCATTTTCCCTCGATTCTTCAGAATTTCGCGTACAATTATTTACGTCGTGTTCAACCTTTGGAGATGTAATTTCGCGCGTCTCTTTGGTCGAGTTTTCTTCATGATATTCCTTTAAATTTGTTCTATAATGTATTCTTACGCCGAAAGCCTTTTGAATCTCTGCGACCAAAGACGCGTCTTTCAAATATTCCACAATTTCTGGCCACATATCTTCAATATGTACAGTGCACGACTTTTATCGTTAGAATGACATTTTCTCCGACAATTTGTAAAAACATTATCGAATTACTAGAAGCGGCTATGTTAAATTCATAAAGTCGACCACGATCTGTCTTTATAAGAAAAACGATACACTTGTGTGGATGTATAATTTAATGCAAATCTACCACGTGAATGGTAACTGACCTTATAGAATATTCATGATTCACTAGAAAACTTTATTACGAACGTGTAAAAAGTTGGAATAATGATTGAAGCTTCCACGGTTGTTTAGCCTGTGCGTTCAGGCAACTGTAGAATTGACGGTTTTGTCATACATCATAGTAAAATACAATAAGCTTCACCAGTTTCACAGAACTTCATTGAGGATCACGTAGGGTCACATCACAGATGCTCCGCATGCTTTAGACTTGTGTGCCTTGTGTGTACGACGCCAGCAGACTAGCGATTACGCTTTACAACGAAATCAACGATTAGATAAGTCGCTTATTTACAGATGGCGATGTTGTACTATTCTTAACTACTGACGATCAAGAAGAACAGAAGCAACAAAAATGTAAATAAAAAAAACGTACACGTAAAGGAGGACGAATGTTTATTTTATTTTAAAGATTATCCCTGTTCCTTTTGTACAGTGATAATATTTGTTACTATATTTGCGCTATAGTATACTAATTTAAGCGAAATAGTCATAAAATAGACCCACTCACCCACATCCTAGAATATATATAAAAAAAAAGAAGAAAAAAGACAATTTACAACACGCAATACGTGTTAATTCGATAATAAACGTATCGGATAATTGCTGTTAATTTTTTTTTTGATGCGTAATACGATTTCATTCAATGAATGAAACACACTCGCACACATTATCACAGAAACATTTGATCCACTATTAATTTAAAGTGCTCCTAAGATTGAAACATGTGTCCGATAAGAGCTAAGTTTTTTACAGATAAGGAGACATCGGAATTATCAGAATTTGGATGAACATGTAAGTCCGGAGTAGTAACAGGACTTACGCTATCTATACTCGGAGAGCTCATTCTTTGCATATCATTGACGTACGTTTTGTTGTCTTGCATGTTCAGCGGGACGATGATTTCATTCAAATGAGCTTGGGGTAAAATTGTGATAATCGGAGTCACACTCGGCGATGTCGTCTCTGTTTGGCAGTAATTTTGCGCATTTTGATACTGAGCTCTGCACTTCTTTTCGTGAACGAACAGACTGCCATTATGGCTATATGCCGTACCACAAATCTTGCAAGCATACGGTTTTTCACCGGTATGTGTGAATCTGTGCTCCTTTAAGTACTTTAGCCTTCGAAATGATTTTCCGCACGTTTTACAATGATAATTGGCTTCCCCTGTATGTGTTGTAATGTGCGCTTTAAGGGTACACGATTTAGCGAAAGCGGCACTACAAAAGTGACATACAAATGGTCTGTCACCGGTATGGGTCCTTTCGTGATTAATACAATTTGAATTTGATGTGAATCCTCGTCCGCAGTACTTGCAAACGTGAGGTTTGTAGCCGGTGTGTGTTCTCATATGGAACATGAGACCTGTATTCTGTCTAAACGTTTTGCTGCAGATATGACACAAATACCGTTTGAAATTTGCATCCTCCTGCTCTTTCGAGCGTTCGTGAATTCTCACGTGCCTCTGTAGTTTCACTTCTTTTTCGAAGGATTTGTTACATTCTTCACATCGATATGGCTTCGATATTTCACTCGTTTTCTGCTGATCTTTATCCTTCTCCTCGCAGGTACAGTCCTCACCGCAGTTTATGCATCCCGCGTCCTTTGAATTGTGCGCATTCAGCTGATGCTTCAACAAGGATCTTTTGGTATCATATGACTTTCCACATATTTTACAAGGGAAGCCCTTTTCTTCGTTATCTGAATCAAGTTCTTCCCGTATCCAACTGTTTATTAATTTAATAGCCGACTTATCATCGGACGGTTTTTGAATTTCCATAGATATTTTGTCCTTATTATGACCGTACCGTTTTTTATGGCTCTCTAATCTGTCTTGACGGAAAAATTTCATATTACAGACGTTACAAAGGAATTTTTTTTCGGTGTGAATCAGTAGATGGTCTTGAAGTAATTTATCATTAGAATAAGATTTATTGCAATATTTACAACGATGAAGCGCCGTATCATCGTGAGGGTCAATTGTTTCTTCGAAAGTGGAATCTAAATTTAATAGACAAGAATCTCTGTATTCCGAGTCTAATATGTATCTTCTAACGTTGTCTGATGTCCTATTTTCATTATTTACACACCCATCTCTTATTTCTGTGTTATTATCATTTATTTCAGTGATATTTTCTTCACCAATATTTTCTAATTTCCTTTTATCCCTAATTTCTTTCAAAATGGAAAGGACCTCTTTTGGATTGGCTCTTTTATGAACATTTAAATGTCTTACCATAGTATCAGTTTTCTTGAAACTCTTATTACATATCCTACATAATACTGGTTTAACTCTTTCTTCCACTTTGTGCAATTTGTTATGTTTTATCAAATCATTAAGTTGCGAAAATTGTTTATTACAATTGTCACATGTGAATTTCCTTTCATCATGTGTCACTATATGTCTATCCAAAGATTTTTTACTGGAGTAACACCTGCAACATTTAGGGCAGGTATAAGAATTTTGAGAAACTGTATCCCTAACATTTTCTGTATGCTCATTTTCCATAATATCACGCTTAACATTTGTATTTTTTTTTATGTATTGTCTTTGTCTCTCCTTATGATTTCTTAAGTTCTCCATAGAGGTCACTCTTTTGAACATAGTTGTTCTTCTTGTTCGATAAGCTTCTCTTCCTGCTGTACTCTTCTCACATCCTGCTGGTAGTCGTTTGATACAATTATTACTTAGATAATTATTGAATTCATTGGATTCAATACAATTAGAGTCGCTAATTGTCTTAGGTTCTTTGACACAATTCACAATTGTAGATGAATTATGATCTAGTGTAAAAGGTACATTTGTCTCCATTTTTATGAAACCAGAATTAAAAGTATAATCTGTCTGGCAACATTGATCCTAATGAAGAAAAATGAGATTTTTACAATTTTGTAGCTTCAGTTATTATGTACCCATGTGTAAATACTTACTTTGGTCATCATAGAATGTTTGATATTGCACATTGTTTTCAGTTTCCCATAAAGTTCCCTCAATCTCATATCTGATTGCTGACATTGCTTTCTTAATTCATAAGCTTCATTGACTTTAATTACACATTCCATACAGATAGTAGTGGGCAACCCATCGTTCTCCATTATCTAATATGACAATCTTTCATTAGTAAAGTAACAGAAAGGGGTCAATAAGGAATAAACGCTTGAATGTTAAACTGACCTTCACACCGCTGCACAGACGAAATTTATCAAATAAGACAGTATCAGTATCCGTACTATCCAAATCATGTCGAGGAGCACCAACAATATATTGGTTATTGTGTTTTCGTGCAAGACAAATGCGACATAGGTTGCCAGTACTATCGGGAAAACCTGTTTCTATACTTTCGACCTCCATTAGATCCTAATAAAAATAATCGTTCGACCACAAATGCATTTACATTCGATTCATTTGAACTTTCCACGATTGTCAACGTGATGTCATCATTTGGATACGCTGCCACGGCGTTCACCATTACACGAACGTTATTACTTTCGTTCGTGGAAGGCCATTAGCGTCTCTGGTAGAGTTTCTATGAAAACTCAATGATTCATCGTCGAAATTCGACGATTTCCATAGGCATATTGATTTTATCGTACTACGATCTTTCATTATTGTTATAAATATGTGGAGTTAGTCAGGCAACAGTACCGTGTATTTTAATGAAATGTGAAAACTAACGAAAGCGGAAAATGAGTAGAGACCGCGGATCTGTTTATGACAGTTGTTCGTGACACAAGCAGACACGGCGCAACAGGAATCATTGAAACCAACTGAAACAACTATTTGAGTTGATTCATATGATAAATATCGCTCAGAAATTGGTAAATAAGAACGTCGTGAACGTTGTAAAATTTGAACGATCGCGTAAATGGAGGATACACCGCGAAAGAAGACTCGGGGAAATGGCACTAACGAGCCGGACACCGCGGACAGTGAAAAAGTTTGCGACAAACCCCCAAACGGACCCTTAACCTACGACATTTTAAGAATTGTATTTAAAGAGTTGAATGGAATGGAATTATGCAGGGCCTCATTGGTTTGCAGGTGCGAACTCGAATAGCCATTTATACATCGTGTTTTTCTGTACCTTAATGCGAAGGAAAAGTTCATTTTTTGTAAACCCTTGGGAAAGGCATATTTCTACAAAATGAAGGGGTCCCCGTGCTGCTCTAATAATGTGCCTTCCGTACATATTATGAGATTTCATGGCCTATTTTCTTAAGCGATTCGTAAAATGCGCTAGCACGTAGCGCTTTATATTACAGATCCTGGTTAGAAGCAGCAAATGACGAAAGGCGAACCAGGGGTCCAACCTATTTCATACAGAATTGCAAAGAACTTTTAGCCAATGAAAAATTGAGTATGGAACGTATTAAAATGCAAAGTATTAAAAAATTACAGATAAAACCTGCTTTAGGATTATTTTTTACAGCACCGTCAATACCATTCAGTGAACCAGGTATTTGCTTTTATTATATTTCACTTATAACTGGTCTCTGATGCATCTATTGCTTTATTACTAATGATAATGTCTTGGTCCTATGAAGATTGTCACTGTAAGGTTCTTCCTCCAAATTGTGATACTGTAACATTAGGGACACATGGAGTTGTCTTTAATAATAGGGAGATTGAGGGAAATGTGGAAAATATTGTATGTGCATTTCTACCTGAAGTACCAGATGTAACAATTAAAACATTTGTAATTGGAGACAATTCAGCAACAAAGAATGATGTATCAATGTCTGTGGAGAACTACAGTGAAGAAATTAAAAAAGTTCTTAGGACATCAGAAAAGAGTCCTAATAGATCTAAATGTTTATTACTGTTCTGTGATCTGAGAGGTCGTAATTTAGCAGTAAAACTTTCAAATTCTTTGAGAAAAAGGTAATAATTTTGATATCACTATTATTCAGCTAATGTCTCACAGATACTAAAGTACTATTGTACCTTTTATATTTAGTTACACAACAGATGAACTTTCAGTATGGGGAGGAATAGCTAAAGATTTATTAGTTTGTAATGCAAAAGATAGTAAGAACGACAGATGCGGAGAATTTGCATTCTGCGTTGGTATAACTTTGACTGGAGCATTAGATACTTGGTCTATAATCGTTGGTAGAAGTTACATGACTAAAGATCGCGTGGAACAACGGATGAAATCGTTCAGAAATCGTGTTCGTTTAAAAAAGCACTCCATAGGATTTATGTTCGCGTGCTTTGCTCGCGGGGAATATATGTTCGATGAGTGCAATGTAGAGTCAACCATTTTCAAAAAATATTTTCCGGAAATACCGTTAGTAGGCTGTTTCGGTGATGGAGAATTTGGAAAGAATTCTTTACCAAACGGTGGGTACTTTCTTATGTTCACCATACTTATATTCACTGTAAAATAAAATCATGTTATGTGAGCCATATATTTTTGCAGAATCTAACAAAAAGGCAAAGTGGTATAATGTGACATCTACCATTTTTTTAATAATTACTTATGGTTAAGTTTCACATGTGATGTGATTTGCTGTCTACTATTACATTTGTACAGGGGACATTAGAATAAAATTATGAAATCGGAACGTACACAGTGTACGTTAGATCGTTAGAAAAAATAAGTCAGCAATCTCGACGTGTATCAGTAAAAAGTGTGTTGTATGACAATGTGTGATAATATATTCTATGTTCATATAAATTCGCTTTTTTATGCTGCCCCTCTTGATCTGTCAAACCGTTTAGTTAAAATGAAAATAAGATTATCAGTGCAGAAAACGACAGTTCCCTTTAAATAAAGTGTACATGTTACTATTTACTTTCGCGCGATACGAAAATATCCGGTGTACCTGACAGTTAATTGGGCAAAAACCTGCACCTCTTTGAATACGATTATAATGTTTAAGGCACCGCTGGATAACCACTTGACAGTATTTCCGCACGCACGATATGGTGTTAAAGATAAACCAAAAGAAACTGGGCCATGCGAGGGCCCGCTAACGGTCATTATGATATTGTCGGGGTTTATAAGAAGCTTCCACCCTGTGGTTTTCACCAACCAATTAGGGCGAGCAATAGAATTCCGTGGTTGTGTACCGAAAAGTTTCAGTTGAACGTCAACACTCTTCAGTGTCATTTCTAAACTTCATACCGTTTATACAGAAGGCTACAGTTCTCAGAAATAACAGTATGATAGTAGTAAGTAAGTCTGTACACTTTGTGGTATTGTTCGTCATTTTTTGCAATTTCGCGATTTGCCATGCGTGGGACAGTGGTTTGCAACGAAAGTACGATGGATATGGAAAAGACTGGATTTTCATGCCCGATGGAAACGGAAAACCACAAGTAGCGGTACTGCAACACGCGGAAAGTGAAAAACGGGTCATTTTTGACGAGGCGCAAGTTTCCTATCTTCTTTACACCAGGTACTACTTCGCAGCATATTTAATCAGATATACTAGATGATTCTGATTCAAATATAATGCAATATTTTTAAGGAATGGTCCGAAAACGGGCACTCAATTATATACGAACGACACTGCAGGACTTGCCGGTTCCAGCTTTAATCCATCTCGAATAACGAAGATCATAACTCACGGATGGAAATCAAGTGCAATGAGCGCCGGTCTTGTCGACCTGAAGGAAGGTATCGCTTTTATAAGTATTTTTAAAATTACCACCTCGAGAAAAAGTCCATTTCTAGATCTCTTGTAATCCGTAGCATATTTAAATTACGACGACTACAATGTCATTATGATCGATTGGCAACCGTTGGCTGCGAGCACGTTTTATCTTGGGCCAATGCGTAACACCGAAAAAGTTGGAAAGACTGCTGCTGAATTCATTGATTTCTTAGTTGCAGAAACGGGTCTGAAAACTGAAAACGTTCATTTTCTTGGTACATATTATAGTAGATATAATTAATGATAGGTATCATTACTTTGTACTTCCGCTAGTTTAACTATTCAATTCAAGGACATTCTCTTGGAGCACACGTCGCCGGAAACACTGGAAGTTCAGTGACGTCTGGTCATTTAGGAAGAATAACTGGTTTAGATCCAGCTTTGCCAGGATTCCACTTACTCACAACCGACAAAACTCGACTGGATTCTACGGACGCGTTATTTGTTGATGTTATTCATTCCTGTGGCGGAGTATTAGGGTATTTGCAACCTATAGGTAGCGTAGATTTTTACCCGAACGGTGGAACGGCAATTCAGCCGGGCTGTTGTTGCGTTGCAGAAGTTGTAGGTAATGTATCCTAGCAAGTTATGTGCTTTTCGAATTATGTGTATGCAAATTTACTGGTTCTCTTGTGTGTAGAGGCATGCAGTCACGGGCGATCGTATGTCTACTTCACGGAAAGCATTAATCCTAAAATGACGTTCGTGGGAAAGAAGTGCAATACGTGGGATCAATTTATGGGTAACAATTGTAGTCATTCCGATTCTGCAGTGATGGGAGAATACGTTGACAAAACGACTACTGGAACATATTTTCTAAAAACCAGATCAGAAGCACCCTATGCTTACCAGGAAGAGATAACCGATAACACGGTTTAAGTAAAGCAACGTTCCAAAGTTATTCCATTCATATTGCTAACCAAAATTTGTATATATATTATATATAAAAATTACTTTCACTATCTGGAAGTTGACTAATGTAAAATATTTCATTTTAATAAATAATAATTACAGTATTATACATTTCAAATACAACTATCCATATCCTGTCCGTTTCCAAATATTTCTGTTTCTTAAGACGTTGATATTCTTACCTTAGCTAGAAAATACATATGTACTGGTTCGATGTAACTAACAATTGCCGAAAACTTCGGGAATGATTCAGACATTTAAATTGGTTTATACAGTAAAGTTGTAACGTATTTTTTGCGATAACGGTGCGTAGCAGACAAAACCATTACGCTATCTTTGATACTTAGAGCATATAGATGATTCAACATAACATGATTTGGTTCTGGCAGAAGTGTTGGCTCGCACTGAAATCATGGTATTAAGTAATTTCTAAACTAATAACATTTTTTGCATATACTCATTGTAGTTACTTACAGACATAGGAGTGTCCTTATTTAGTATAACTTGTAGCAAGTGAGGTGGTAATATGGGTGGACCAGCCACTTTTTCCCAAGGCTTATGGGGAGGAACTTCTTGCCCATATACTGTTTGAGCACTACTAATAACACCTTCACTATCTTTTGCAAGTGCTTGAAACACTTCGAAATCGGATTTTCTTACAGATACAAGATTGTTCTTGGAACCCATTCCATTGTCAATAATTTTCTGTAAAAAAAAGGAAGACAAAAATTATTCCATACTTTCAAAACATTAAAGATAATAAAAAGAGTCTTACTATGTCTGGGTCATGTCTCCATTCACCATCAACATAGAACTTATACTGATGTTCCCCTTCTGGTAAATCAATAATAGTTACAAAATCTCCATGACTCTTTACCATGGGCAAAGTTTTCCATCCAGTAAAAGTTCCACTAATATAAACCTGTTTGCCACCACCTTCCCATTTGAAGACAGTAGGCAGCACCTTGCTATCTGCTACTTTCGTTCCTTCAGATACAGTATTCGAACGTGGACGTTGAGTAGTAAAATCATCTCCATCTTGGTGACCTGCCTGTTCATGAAAAGAGTAGTAATTTTTTTAAGTATGAATATTAAACCACTAACTACTTATCTAATATAATGGTATATCGAACATACTTTAGTATAATAAGGTTCTTCTTCCTCATGAGACGATTGGAATACTAATTTTTGACTTGGCTTTTTATCAAAAACGAAAGCTTGGCCTTCTTTTCCTGGCGATGGCGGAGGATGTTCTTTGGTATGACGATGTTCTCTACCCGAGGAGCTGCCGTGGTGATGACCAACCGGTTGATTACTTCCTGCGTTACCCATCGTCAGCTTATGACTTCTAATGCAACGAAATACAAATGTCACCAGCACACTATTACGCAGAAATTATGGAAACAATATGCAATAAAGTGTGTTCAATCCCCACCTAATCCTTGTTTTGTTTACGGGAACAACAATTCGAAATAATCACTCACCTAATCTGAAGCAATGACCAAGGTTAAAGTCAAGATTGCATTCCTTAAGTTCCACTTACGTCACTCACAAGTCACAAATCAAACACGTATAAAGATTAAAACGTAAGAAAACAGTACGATAAAACCAACGATAGTCTGAAAGATTCGACTAAAAATGGCCGATTCGTTCATTTAAGATCTACTTATCGGCAAAGTCATCGATTGCACCGGAATGTGTAAATTGTGCCCTCTTTACAAATTCATTTTCAACGGTTGATCAAATGTCGATAATGTCGGTGCTGCCTGCACTTACAGTTGCAATATGTTGCCGACAAGCACCTGCACTTCCGGCACAGACAAGATATAAGAATAGACCTAACATCACCGGAAAATAGTTGGCGCCGAACGTAAACGTATCTTAACGATTTGTATCTCAAAAAATTGCTCCCAATTTGTTCCTTCCGAATCTGAAATTGTTCCCACAGCACCGTTAATAATTAACAAGGTATTCGCAAAAGAAAAAGCAAAAATTTGTTGGTAACAAAATAGGTAGTAAATGGCCTTTTCACACAAATATTATGGCACCAAAAAATTGCTCCTGATCTGTTTTATAATAATCAATAGTCAGATATCTCAATAACAACGTATTAACGAGGAGCAAACGAAATATTTTTTTTGCATAGAGGTTAAGTAATACGTCATGTGATAGGCGCTCGTTTATTGTAGCCTTCAGGGTTATAGAGGGCCAGAATTCCAGGAATATTGCTGTATTCATACATATATCTCGTCTGTGCTTCCGGTTGCAGGAATACCGACTGAGGAAGTAGGAAACAATGTTGCCAACATGGTAGAAGTATCGATAGTGCAAGAACTAAAAGCGCGCCAATAGGTCATCAGCTCGCGTTCAGTGCACATCGGAACAACTCCTTTACGTATGATTGATGCAAACATGTTCGTTCTTTCTGGTACCTGTATCTCCCGAAATCCTCCGGATTCAGGCTGACAAGGTAATTTAATTCATAGAATACAGGATAGTAATAAATACGAATGGAAGATATGCATAGTATATGTTTTCCAATTTACGTAGTCACTTAGCCTTAAAATGACGACAGTAGAATCACGTGACGCGCACTTAGCATTCTGTTATATTATCGTATTCATAGATCACGGTACTGAAGTGCACGAATCAATATGTATTTCCCACCGCGAATATTGTCCATCTCTTTCGGAACGTCGACGGTATCCGTGGTTTTCAAGGTGACACGGACCTTGTATCGTAAAAGCAGCCGGGGTGCGCGAAAGGTGATCAATAACCGTCAATATGCAGGACGACGTTTTAATAAGAGTGCAAGCCCGAGATCCTGGGGCCCAGTTTATGACTTCGCGACACAGGACGTCACTTCGCCGCTCTTACTGCCTGCTCTTTATTATCAGTCGTCTTTGTCTCTCTATCTTTCTCTCTCCTCCTCTTTCTCTCTCTTCCCCTTCACTCCTCTCCATCTGCTGTCCCTCTTCTTCGCGCCCATTTGTTCCTTTACGTTCCATACTGCCTCCATCTTTGTCCCTCCGTCTCCCCGGCTGTTTTTACGTGAATTTATTATTTACGAAGTCGAAGGAGCTTGCGCCTTTTCGGTCGTATTCTAACTTGTCCGTCCGACTTTCAGCTTTGCAACCAAATTCCCGTGGTCGACTTGTTTCGCAAAAGTCATCGTTGCAGCACGTTCGAAATTTTCATTTCGGAAACAATCAATGGGATTGGCCAGCGGCGTGTGTTGTTTTGTTCGTGTAAGTTGGCAGCATGCAGAGTCGTACTTGAGAAGTCGCGAAGCGAAACGAATAGGAAACGTTCAAGTGAGTTCCGGTTAAGCAAGGGAGATCAGCAAGCTAGTGCACGATGGATGATACGTCACTCGGATTGACAATCCTAAAAAGGTTCGATTTAATATATTTTTATCGAATATACTTACAGAATTAATTCACCTGTGTTAAATTGATGTTACTGGATGGAACATTAACCATTTAGAGGCATTGTATCCCGATATAGGTTTCCTTATCTCTGATAGCCGGATTGAAATGCATTTAAAAATTAAGGGAACCACCGGATTTATCGACTTGCGCTAAATGTATTTCTCGTTCCGCGATGTTGATTAGATTGTCGTAAAAGGTTCGGATTATCTGAAGTGGCGACATATGTTCGACATTTCCGGAAGTCGGCGGCCTCTCGAGTGGCTTACACGCGCCGCTAGGTATATGGATGTTAATTTTTATCGAGGAACTTCGATAGGCAGCCCGAACTGTCGGTCTCGAGTAACTCCCGTAACGAGAGAAGTTAAAGAGTACAACGCGTTCAGTTGTGAACGTATGTATGTATATGCATGCATTCGCCGTGGAAAACCGGGGGCGACGGCGGCGCCGTTAGGATGCGCGCTTCTGTCGACTCCAGGAAGTAAACCGAAACTCTCGGCTTTCTGTTCGGGTAAACAGCGTCTTAATCCTATCGAGATTGCTCGTTACAAGACGCGAGATGGTGGCCAACTTCCCCGACCCGCCACGGGAACGTCTACTTTCAGCGTCTGCCTCTGTATTACAGAGAAACAGCCTCGCCTGCTCGACCTCTCGACAATCGAAGCCTTTTATCCCTCGAAGTATCAAGTAATAGAAACTTCGGCGTTTAGACTGTAACAACGAAGGGACCAGATGTCGAGCGTGCCGGAACGAAAGCGAGCGCGCAACGAAGGAAAATAAAGGGGAAGTCGAAGGAAAAGCGTGGAGAGGCGGCGTGCATGCGTTTAATCGATAATCACCGGCAAGTGGTTTCGTCCGAAAAGGGTGGCAGAGGTTACATCTGCGAGGTATCATCAGCGTCGGCAACGAAACGGCGATCCATCATCTCTCGGCAGTCCAAATCCGAAATTGCTCGACCGTTTCCTCGGGCTACGCGCACGGCCATAATAGGGATTACGGCCGGTGTAAATAAATTTCGAATCGCGAGTAAGCCTGTCTCTTTAAGCTTTGTAGGCGCTCGGGAAGTCGACGGTCCTCGGTGGAAGGCGTGCCCCGTGTTGGCTGACCAGCATCCGATGAATCGGGAGTCGGTAACGTACAACGGATTCCGATTGTCGTGAGAAAAATTCGAATCTTCGAAAACCGAAATCATTCGTTCGAAGTCAACTGTTTTATTGCAATGAGATCAAGTTGACTTATCATGGTCTGATACTCGTTCACGTTTGCCCAAGGATTGTTATCCGAGAATGGCTACCGCCTACAACGGAAAGGTTCGTTTTTTAAGTTCACCGAAGGTGGGCACGTTGATAACGAGCAACGAGAAGTGACAGTGAGGTGGTTCGTTTCGCCGGCATGGTAACAGAGCCCCGGTGACTTGGTTGTCTTCTTGCGCACGGTTGCTGAAATGGTATTGTTACGCTGCTCATTGAGCACGAGGCACGTTGTCAGATTGTCAACGGCGGATAGAGCTACAACCTTCGCCGGGTAATAATAGATATGGTGTCAGCAGGATGTTTCGACATTCGATCAGGAACTTTTCTTATACGTATACCTGGGCCCCGGAGTCGTCTGAGCGTTGGAGTCGCGCGCGCGGACGACGCATGGGACGGGATGGATCGTAGCAAGGAGGAGGCTGATTTCAGGGATGGCAGAGTCTAGGACCCACGGCCGATGCACGAAGCCCGGGGAGAACAAAAAACGACGCGGAGGAAGATGGAAAGGATTACGGTGCGTCAGGAGCGATGACTGAACGGCTGGTAATCGCCGAGCCGCTCTAATATTTCGAATAGTTCGCATTTACAATAGGCTTTATTGGCGGGAAAACTGAGGGGGGTATTTTGAGCAGCCAGGACATCCATCACCGGGGTGTCAACGTGATTGTCTTGCGTCGCGTTCACCGTGGAAAAGTATTGACGCGGCGATAGAGGAGAGTTGAGCCGCGACGAGCGGCGCATCGCGCGTGCGGATAAAGCGACGCTTTCGGTTTTAACAAGAGACAAAACGCCTGATATCACGACCGATCGGGCGAAGAATCAACACGATATGTCTGTCAGCGGGACTGATAGACGAGAGGGTATCTTTCATCCTTGACGTGTGGACAGCATTATTTCGACCGGGGGTCGCATGAGTTTGCCATTGTGTCGTATTTAAATGATCTTTCTAATGTGTTTAGGTTGAATATCGTAGCAGACCAGAATCGTACTGGCATCGAAGAAGGCACATCTTGTTTGGATACCTACTGGCCTTCGGTTATCGATATGGATTAGGGAAATCTGAAGATTGGACCGAATCGATGTAACGACGAACAGAAGAAGCTGTTACCATCCATTAGGAACTATATTTTCACGCGAATCGATGTTTCAACAAAGATACTCAACGGTAGAAAGAAACAAGAGCACGTCGCGTCGTAACGAATAAAAATGCCCGCGGTTGTCATCATGCGAGAGCGCGTGTGGATTAAAGTCGACGAGAAATAAAAGCTGGTCGTTCGTTGGGAAAACAGTACGGGTGGCCAGAGAGAGAGAGAGAGCGAGAGTAGGTAACTACATACGCTCACGGGGAGGCGTCGATGCATAATCGGAGCGCACCCTCCCGTGGCTATCCGTTTTATTTATCCGATAACACGCCATTATGGGCGAATCGCGGACGCGGCTGTGTCGGTAACGATTGGCTATTTATAATAACACGTGGCATATGGGTAATTAGTTGCGCGGCGTAAGCCGCACTGAAAAACCGAACGGTGGCGTACGTGTCCAGAAAAATTACCGTCGTTTTTCATCGGGCCGTGGCTCGAAAACCATTATTCCGCCTCTTGATTTTTCTCCGTTACGGCGCCTCGCCACAGCCGCGGCCGTCGCAGCTACACAGCGTCCCCGCCGGCATTGAAAACCGCACGCAATTAGCGTTTCGCAAAATCCGCGGTCTCTTTCGTGACTATGCCTCTCTTGGATCTGCTTTCACGCCTGTTTCGCCGGCCGTGTAGGTACACACGTATCTCGCACGAACAAGTAATTACAGTTAATTCGATCGATGCTCTCTTTCCTTTGATATCAAGGGGACTCGACCAGTACGGGGATTCAAGGAGAACGGAAAGATGATCGAAGCGACGGGAAACGCGATGCAGGACGATGGAGGGCGATGCAGGGCGATGCAGGACGGTGGCGGACGTGGTGGCATGATAGCAGTCAGTCGTCGACGGACGTCACCCTATTAACTCGTCTCACTTTCCCGTCTCTTTCCTCTTTATACAAGATAACATGATACGATAACGGGGACACAAAAAACATACACACACACGAAGAGAAGTCTGATGCAGCGTCTGGTAAAAGGTACGCCGTACAGAGACATCAAGAAGAGCGACGCTTCCGGTGCAGTGGAGTCCTTCTGACGGCGTGTCCGGTTGGCTGGCGCGGAATGCCTTCGTATCCCTGTACGTGGCTCCTGTACAAAAATTCGTACTTTTTCTCCCTCTCTCATCGACAGCTCGGTACCCTCCTTTTTGTCGTACGGTCTGTTACAGTCCTGGGTTACCGTCCACGCGCAAACAATGACGAGGGTTACGTAACACGGCTATGCACAACAGACAGGCGTTCTATGCTTGCGCTTCGCGCAATTCGCCCGTTGCGGGGTGGCCAATGAGCAGTAACAGGAACGATGCCGGGCGAGCTACATACGCCCGTGAACGCTCTAAGAATGTGAGTATCGTACGCTAACTTACTTGAAAATGCTGGATGATTAGCTGAAGCTGCGTTCTCGAATTAATTAAATCAGCGAAATTGATAAAAGAAGATGGACTAAGCTGTAGATACAGTGGATTTTTCAGGTATTGGTTATGTTATTGCAGTGTTAAGGTACTGCACACAAGCGTAACGACTGTCTTGCGCGTATAAACGAACAATAGACGGTCGAAAATCAGTGAATCGCGTTACAGGCGGCCAAACAACGCCGTGAACGAAATTGTTCTGGGCACCAGTGGAAAGACACGGACACTGTTAGCCCGGAACACGGCTCGAAGTCGTAAGCTCGTGGGTTCGAGATATTTTCTCGTGACCGCAAAACAAGAGGCGGCAGCGGTTGCTTGGACGAGCGAATGCATCGGAGCTGGTTCGACCGACGGGATTGTCCTTCATTACGCACGAAGGAAAGTGCAGTCATCGGCGTGCATACCCGTAGGTATGCACACAGAGGCATTAGCTCCCCCAAAGCCAACCGGTATTAATTCCACTAATTGGACGTGGTTTGGTTCGTGGCAAACATCGGTCCCCTACCGATCCTCGACCTTCCTCGAACGAGGGACTTGGATCTACGGCATCGATCGCTTTATCGCCGCAAACAATGACTTTATCGTCGATGGAAACGAACGTCCTCGGGACATGTATGCTGTATTCTTACGGCGATTCTAGGAGTTTCTTATTTTTTTTAAAAAAAAGCTAGATCACATATTGAACAGGAGTATAGAAGAAGGAAGTTGCGATTGACGGATGAAAGTGATCATTTTAGGTGTAACTGACAAATGAAACGTGTCGATCGAGAGATGCAGACGTTGGCGAGGATTTTGTTCGCGAAAGCGGAACAGCAAGACGATCGGCCCCCGCTCGGACGAGCGGCGATGGTCAATGAACGTTAGGCCCAGGGGGTCTCGTTTCGTTTGGGGTTGCACGAGGTCAAGGGATCAGCTGCGGTTGGAGAGATATACGTGTGCGAAGCCCGTTACACGTATATACGTGTACCTACTCGTAACGAACGCGGAGGGTCTTTCCTCGTGAATCTGGGTCACCGGGCCGATGAGGACTGATCAGGGGTTGACCGCTAGAAAAAGGCCAAACGATATACCCTCCGTCGTTCTCCTTTTTCTTTCTCGCGTATCTCGACAAGCTCCGATCCGCCGACCGTGACGATTTAATCGAACAGCGAGGGTGTTCTCTCTGTCCTGAAATTCCTCCCTTTTGGCGTTAAGCTATACAGAAGCTTAAACATCCATCAATTGCATCCGTGTATTTCCAGTAATCGTTGAATAATTTTCCAGGATTTCCTTACTATACAAGAGTACCACGAAGAATCCTGTGGTACAGCGGCAAGACGTCGTACTATGGCGGACGGGGCGATGCACGGGTAACGTTTTTGCGGGTCGAAGATCCGCGGGTAGCGACGAAATTAACGGGGAACGACGAGAGGCTCGCTTGAAGAGAACCAAGCAGGGAAAGTTCGGACGCAAGAAGCATCGGCGGATACGGACGCTTTAGGTATGGCACAAAGATATTAAGCACTCATACTCGGGAGCTTACCAAGAGCCGCCAGGAGAGTGTAGGGTGTAGTATATATGTATGTATCGTGTATGCCGCGGTAGGAGGAGGCGGAGAAGAGGCGGAGGAACGGTGGTAGCGGACGCGGAGTCGCGGCGGCCAGAGGGGGCGCGCGCGCCCGAAGAAGGACGGCGGGCAGAGGTGAAAGAGGGTGGTCGAGGAGCCGGAGCGAGATCGCGAGGAAGCGGAGGTTACCTACAGAAGAAATAAGCGCGCTCGTGTAATGCTGATGGCGAATATGGTAGAGGAGATCCAGCGAGGGAACGGCTGCGAAGAAGAAGGCGGCAGGGGGGACATGTTCCCCGTGAGAGGGGCGGGGGTGTGGGAGGGTAGAAGGGGTGGGTGCATGCGAACAGGAAGGGGGACCCCCCGCGCCGCGCGAGAGACCGACCGATCGATTCGAACGCCGGCGACATTCTTCGTCGTACGGACGGAGGAACAGGGAGAAACGGAGAGAGACAGCCGGGGGTGGGTTGGCGCGAGGGAGGGGGAGGGATACGGAGGACTTGGAGAATAGGACGGACACGAAAGAGGAAACGAGGTGGAGACTGTTGCCGCTGGCCGCGCGCAAGAGAGCGCGAATTTGAGAGAGCGTGCAAGCCATAAGCCAAGGTGGGAGGAGAAGCTGGTGGAAGAAGTGGGAGGCAGCTACGAAGAGGCAGGGGAAAAGAGAAGGAGAGAGAGGTCGAACTGTCGCGAGGAGGAGAGAGTGAGAGAGATGCAACGTGTGCGTGAGAAAACGAGAGAGAGAGAGAAAGGGACGATTGCCGAAGAAGAAGAGCAAAGAAGGGAATGGTAACAGGGGGAAACGAAGAGAAGAGAATGGAATAGAAGAGAAGACGGCGTGAGAGGAAGGGAGAGGGTCGAGTGCAGCGAGTAAGGACGATAAGTAGAAGAGACTTGGGAACGAAATGGAAAAAGAAACGGGGGAGGGGTGTAGAGTAGAAGAAAGCAAAAAGGGGGAGGAAAAGAAAGGAGAAACAACGCGAAGTAGCAGGGAAGGGAGGAAACGTGACAAGGAGCGAGGAACGGGTGGAGGGGTAGGGGGTGGGAGAGAGGGAGGAAGGGTGGTTAGATTTAGGAGTGGCGAGAAGCGCGGAGGGGAGCATTGGAAGGTGGCGGAGGGTGGTGGAGGGAGAGGTCGCGAGGAAAAAGAAGAAATCCCCACTCGTAGCGCGTAGATCGGCGGTAGGTTCGAATCGTACTGTCTTGTTGAGACTCGCGTCTGCGTCTGGATGTCTCCGTGTGTTAGTCGCCCCCGGAATCGTCCCGGTCGGTCGGTCGTCGTCGGTGGCAGAGGTTGCCGCGTGGTGGGGATGAGCTCGGCGTTCCCTCCACCAGCTGGGAGGAAGGTTCGAAAGGCGTCGACGGTACGAGGTTACCGTCCAATAGGGAGAACTGCCACCCCGATGGCTCCGCCAACCGGATACTCGGTTGCGCGCACAGAACGCCCATTCCTCCCCGTTCTTTGGGCTCCCACTGATGTTTTTATTTATTACATCTGTGACTGGGTAGGGAAATACTCCCGACTCGACCGAGAGAGCGTTTGCCACTTTGAGAACGAGCGACGCGCGTTCCTGCGAGTTACCGCCGCAGCCGCCGCAGCCGCTTTCGTCGTCGTCGCCGTCGCCGTCCTCGCTGTCGTCGTGGTCGTCGTTGTGCTCGTTTACCGTCGTCGCGGTCGCTGTCACCGCGACAGCATTTTCGTCATCGTCGTCGGGTACGCGGTGTAAACGTCGTCGCGGTTCGTGTGCGTCACTCGCGTCACCTCTTTGGTTCCGTCGTGCAACATCTCGCCGCGGTTTCGTCGACGACCGTTTCTAACCGTTCACGGTGGTCGACGACAAACTCTGTTGCGCGACATCGCGCGTCTAGTCCGATCTCCGAGTGTGCTTCGATTTCATCAGTGATAGAAAGAGAGAGAGGGTCACCAGACAGCATACGCGTCGTTGAGGAGAACTTGTGGTTGACTCGACTGTTCACGAGGGGCAGCCGAGCTGCCCTCGTGAGGCAGCATAGGCCGGCCAGAACGCACGGACCTGTCCGCAACGAGAACGATCACGAGGTCGCGCAGGCCGGTATCGGGTGACACCGAGCCAATTGTCATGGACACGGTTATTCGAGTGGTTGTGCACAGTGAAATTGTTTGCTACGCGTACACGGTCCAACGTACTGCTCCGTGAGACCCAGTAAGTTTCCTCCAGTGACAGTGATCGCACGCGGGACGCGTGATTCACCTGGCCGATCCTGGATCGACGGGACGTTCCTCGTCGGCTGGTGTTTCCGACAGCCGGTCGAGAGAGTCCGGGAACCGCGAGTCTAGTATGTACTGACCTCGCGGTAAGTGTGTCCACGGTTCATCGTATCCACGTGGGCAGGGTGTGTGTATCGAGACGAAACGAGACGGAACGACGATCGTTCCGAACGGCCGAGAGAGCCGTCTCGGTACCATAAACAAAAAAAATAAAGAAGAAAAGAAAAACAATAAACATACTCCGTACGAACGCTGTGACCACAACGTTGTCGACGTGTGTTTCGTAGAGACAAACATAGTCGGGCGCCCTTCGTACACTCCATGGACCACGGAGCGATGGATAGTTCTTCCGACCACAGTAGCCGCGCCAGTCCCGTAACCGGCAGCCCGAAGCATCCCCATAGTCCGTCGGCGCAACATAGCCAGCAGCAACAGCTTCACGGTTCTCACAGTCAACCACCGCCGTCGCATCAGCAACCCCATCCACGGGACCAGTTACGCGAACAACAATCGCAACAGCATCGCGGCGTTCCCACGCCGGGTTCGCCAACGAGAGGTTCGCCACCTCAGGGACTTCCGTTGAGTCCACCGCCACTTTCCGCCGGTGGTACACCGGGCGCGCCGCCAGGTATGGTGCCACGTATGCCGGGTCTACCGCCACCCGGGCTAGGGCTGCTGGGACAGCTCGGTGGCATGTTAAGCGGCCACCATGGCTCGCCTCTCGAGCTGATGGCCGCTCATCACGCGGTAATGCCACCAAGATCCTATAATAGTCCGCCACCGATCAGCACCAGCGATCCGACCGCGAACGAATGCAAGCTGGTCGACTATCGTGGCCAGAAGGTCGCCGCTTTCATCATAGCCGGGGACACTATGCTTTGCCTGCCGCAGGCGTTCGAGCTGTTCCTAAAGCATCTCGTCGGCGGACTGCACACCGTCTATACGAAACTGAAGAGGCTCGATATAGTGCCGTTGGTGTGCAACGTCGAGCAAGTTAGGATTCTACGGGGACTCGGGGCCATTCAGCCGGGCGTCAACCGGTGCAAGCTACTCAGCTGCAAGGACTTCGACATACTCTACAGAGACTGCACCACGGCCAGGTATGTGAAAACGATGACACGTATGTACAATACATCAGCGGTGAAGTTAGATAACGAGCAGAGGGCAAACTAAAAGAAAACTTGTGTCCATTTTCCCTCGACATTAATCCCCTGTTGATCCCGAATGTCCTCGGTACATTCACACCGTTCAAAGACAATTCGAGGACTCGTTCGAACGACAAGAACGATTTTGTATATAGAGTCACCACCTACGGCCGTTCGTTTCGTAGCTCCCGGTTCCCGTGAACGGAAGCCACGGATCCTCGCGTGTATTAATAACGCCCGGTGTCGCCTCTGGGCAGCACTTTATCTTCGGCCCAGCTACGTTCTCCGTACCCGTGCGCGCGAGCGCTACCGGATCAACCAAAAAATATTTTAATCGCTCGTCGGCTACTCCTCGTTGCCCGGTGTAGTTTCTCGCTACCGTGGTTCGAGGCCTGACTTTCATCCCCTTTAATCTCTTTCGCGTCTTTCTTCCATCTTGGTATCTCATCAGTGGTTCTCGAACAATGAACAGCCCGATGCCGTTCACTTGTACGCCATAATTAGTTCCGATGCCGATAGAATAGGTCATGGTTGTTTTCGACACAACCAACGGGAAAAGAAGATTCAGGGCATACTCAGGCACGTGCCCTTGTATCTGGAAATTGTCAACGGGCCCGCCGTGCCAACAGGTGTCCCTTTCACGGCAGTTTCTCTGAATGAATCGTCCCCACCGACACGAGACAGAGAGAAGTGGCTGTAGTACAAGCTTACCCCACCCACGAGTCAGACGGCAGACGAAACGGAATGGTAAACGGGAACGAGGGGATCCCGGTGGTTGTCGGGGAAAATATTGTCCCACGGGTTTGTAGTATACCTACATACCACTCCGACGCGGTTCGCTGCCTAGGACCGTAGTTTTTCTCTTTCTCTCTCTTTCTCTCCCTCGATTATACACCTCGTGAAACGACGTTTCCTTCGCGAGGAACCAGCACACCAAGACCGTGTCGCGGGGATCGTGATTTCTCGAGAGAATAGCGTGCCAAAGGGGATCGATCCGTCGTCGCGCGAATTGTTCCCAGTCGAGGGACAATAGTATTGCCGGTGGTGTCGCGGTGGCGGTGGCAGTCACAACGGAAACGGATTCAGCGTGACACAGAGAGAGGGCGAAGGAGAAAGAGGGTTCGAGGGGTTTCCGAGCGGATGGAACAGAGACGGGAGAGAACGCAGAGGGACGACGACACGAGAAAGAGAAATTCGGGAGGAAAGAGGAAAGCTGTAGGGATAGGGATCGAAATAATCCGAGCCTGCAGTTACAGAACAGAGCTGGCCGAGCCGTCGGCTGTTGCGGGACCTTCTTCCCGGCGAATTCTCGTGTCCCTCGGGACTCGTATCCCCCTCCGCGAGTGTACTGTTTACATTTTTTACATTTGCGATCTTCCTTAATGCATTTCTAGTTGCCCTCAAGGGCCACCGTTATAAAGTCTTTGGATTATTCCGAAAGGGATACCCGAAATTACGAGAGGATCCTCTTAACAACTGGCTATTTGATTGAGCCATCAAAGTGACCAAGTGTTTGGGCAGACGAGCCGAAAAAAGTCACGTTACTTCAGTGGGTATATTGTACATACTTCGGGATACAGTTAAACGATGTTTTGTTAACGATCGATCCGGTGCAAGCATTCTTCTCTATTTCTTCTGTCCAGTTTTTATACGGTCCTTTCGATTCCGCGTTAAAAGAGCTCCCCTATTGTACTCACGACGCCTGTGCGACGTCCTCTCGTTGTCCACTACGAGAAAAAGTGAAAATCCGGTGGGTCAATGTCCCCCTCGAATACCCTGGACGATCCATCATTTCCGTAACGTTTTCCTTGCCCTTCGCAGCTCGGCTGTGTACGCTATGCTGGGGCCAGACCTCTAATTTTTTTCTCTATATGTAACATCCGATCTGTTTTCCAGAAAAAAAAAACACCACATTGCTCAGACTTAATAAAACCGTCAAAATCGCGACGTAGTGTATATTGCACGCAAATTCACCAATCCAGATTGAATTTCTGATCGAGCTGGGAAATCTTTATGCCCCCATGAGATCGTTCGGCTTCACTCGGACTGTCCTTCCACGTCGTTATATATTATCAATGCTTAATTCAGATCTTATAAAGCGGAATATTGGCTACCCTAAATTTTGACAGTACTTGTCTAGATTTTTTTTTGGTATTAGCACATGCAGCTTCACAGTTAGAACTTACACGCGTTATACGTAACTCCAGTAAATCCTTGATGAGTGTTCGAAGGAACCTCGGCACTGAACATCAAATATTTCATAAATTAATGTCCATATGCGGCTGAAATAAATATCATTGTCACCTATTCTTGTCTGTGCCGAATACTCATCCATATTGACACTTCTGTACGCTAATGATGGATTTATCCCCATTTATCTAAACAACAACAATTTCTACGCGTTTCATCCCATTCCTCGCTAGAAAGACTCCTCTCTCCGTTCCAAAAGAAAGGGAAAGTGGCGCCTATCGTTCGTAGAAAGAATCGAAAGAATCGTAGCGACGAGCTTATCTGTGTTCCAACGATCCACAACTAGCGATCACCACCACCTGGTAGGGAATCATTCCCTCGACTTTTCGTATCGATTGGAAAAACGATGCGTAGAGAGGGGCACACAGCGAGTGGACGCGTAGCCAGCGGTCGACGGAGGGAGGGGGTGGTTTCGCCAGGAAAAATTGGATGATTAAGAGACCGCGGGCATGGGTCCTCTCGGTGGTGCGCGCTGTGTCCGGTGCTGGTCGCGTGTACCGCTGACGTCGTTACATTCTGATAATGCACGGGCAGTGGTAACACCGGGAACGGGTACACACCGATGTTACCTACGGCCTCGTCGCGCGGGCGTGTACCGTGCAGGAGGGGGGATGAAGGGGGCTACGGCCGCGCGCACGGTTTACACGGGATCCTCTCCCGGCGCCCGCTTCTATCGCCCATCGATGCAACAGCATGCACCAGGAACCGCACCGATAATTCAAGGGGGATTTTTCTTGCGGTTTATAGCGCGGCGCCGGCTGCGCTGCACCGCTAGCAAAGCCCAGCTAGCTATCCTCGCGTCGGGGTAGATCCATCGTTTCCGTGGATCGGGTCCCCTCGTCCCGTGGATTAAGGATCTTCGGTAGAAAAGTCATCGGGTTTCTGCTTACGGTGTGTCTCGTTAACGTATCGAAAGGTTGTACGGTCGACCAATTAAGTTGTTTAGAGGTTCGGCAGACGGTGATTCTTACCGCCGCAGAAATGGCTGACGGTTACAAATCGAAACCCAGGCGACTGCCCACGCGTCGAATGATCAGTTCTCGGAGAATCGTCCACCGATTCCGTCGAACACACGTTGCCATCCGCGACCACGACTAATTGATGCCATATACGATCGTCTAACGAGACGAGCCAATTATCCACGTTAGTTTTATCCCGGTTGTGGACGATCGGACTGATCGAAGAATGGTCCGATTGGTCCGCTACGAACGTCGCGGTTCGTTCTCGAGGATCGCGCACCGCTGATGCTTTGTTCTCTTGTATGAGGAAGAACGGTGGTGTATATCGAACGGCGGAGATTTCCTCGTTTCTTCCTCCTTTCCTGTTCTTCTTCCCTTAAACGTCTTTCTCGACTGGTACACGTTCGTAACCGACGAACGAACGCGGCAGGATACGTGGGAGTGCGCGCGGCCCTGGACTATAATTCCATGCGCTATTAGCCGTTTAATTATAAAATTGTGCATAGATTAATTGGCTCCCGTAATGGCCCTAACAATGCACAGACGCGCACCCGGAGAGTAACGGGGAGAGGCGGAGGTGGAGGGAGGGCTAGGAAGGAGTGTAAAACGGGGGAACGGAGTAGTCTAGTTGCGTCGAGGGAAGAAAGGAACGAGGGGGGACTAGTGGGAGGTAAAGAAGAGGAGTAGAGATCGGTGTATAGCTCGGCTAGAGTGAGAGAGAGAGAGAGAAAAAAGAGAGAGGGAAAGCATCGTTATTAATATTTATTTTCTTGGCTCGTTCCTCTTGGCTCTTCTCTGCTCGTTGTTGCCGTGCGCTTATGCACAACGGCTGTTATAGGCGCGCGGTTAAATGGGTACGCGTTCGCGTTTAATCGCACAAACGCGTGAGCGATGCCTCGCGAACCGAGTCGTATGGAAAGTAGTACGATTTCCAAATCAAAGCGTGGAAGATAGAAGAAGCGAAGGAGGAGGGTGGAGAATGGAAGTCTGTGGCCGTTCATGAAATCGCGTTTTCCCAACGAACAATTACATTTCCGTTACCCCCTCTCCGTCTCCGAATAGTGTAGAAGTAACACGGATGGTGGGCCCGCGACGATAGGAGCCTTCCACGCTTCCATTTATCTTCGTCGGAGAAAAACGTAACTATCCACTCTACGCCCGATTGTATCGGAATCGTGTACCTACGGCAGCTGGCTCGGCCGCTCCGTTTCTTCTCTTTTCTTTCGTTTTTTTTTTTCGGTTTCATAACCCACGCGCTCGCTCAACTGGCCCTCCAGGCAGCTTTACGTTTTTAAGGGCTTCTATTATTGCCGGCGGGTCGCTTTTGACACAGATACGCTTGCATTTCACCCGCGTTAGCTTCATACACGATCCCTCTCCACGATGTTTCTTGCCCTCGGTTATTCGTGAATCAAAGCTTCTTTTTTCTGGTGTTATTATTAGGAGGATAGGGTCTTTCGATACGTTTAAGCTGCGAACTGCACTACCGGCTACAAGTATGGGACCAGAGTTCGTGATTGATTGAATTACTCATTATTCAATGAGAATGAGTAAGTATATACCGTAGGAAGAACGAGGAACAGCACACGTATTTATTTCGTTACAGATGACAGACTGTCAAACAAGGCTCTTCTTATTTTAACGCATTCTCAATGAGTCTCGAACATTCAAGATAACACCTGAATGATTCTCCAAATATTCGGAACTCATTGTAATCTGTGACGAAGACTAAATGTACATGGTTTC